GAGGGGAGAGGGGAGGCTTGGCTTATATTTTGGGAAAAAGCTTTAAATGAATAAATCTCCCTCTTAGTAGGTGGGACCTCACAGACCTGGATAGGTCTTGGAAGATAGAAGTTTTAGCACATCTTAATTTCTTTAGCAGCTTAACCAATGAAACAGTGGATAAAGAGGAGACCTCCATTTGTGCCTTTGTTCTTCCTTTTTGAGAATGAGAATGTGAGAAGGATAGTCTCACATCATTGTGAGGACCCAGCAGGGCAGACATGGTGCCCAGTACCAAGCAAGTGCAAGTGAGCTCAGTCAGATTCTATTGCAGGTCACCCCCAGAGGGCACTTGCTTTGCTTCTGCCTTCCATGGTAGGGGAGAAGTGTCCAAATGTGTTTTGGGGGGCAGCAGAACGAGAGACTTGCACAATTGGCAGAGGTGCTCTCTATTCTTTGTGTGGCTCAGGAAGACTGTAGGCTACTCTCTAAATGGGCTGTGGCCACCTGGAAGCTGCAGTGAAGTGTGTGTGTGGGGTGGTGGTGGATGTGAATGTCATTTGACTCTTCTCCTTTGAGCTGTTTTTGAAATGAGTTCATTAATAGAAGCGTGGACATGCTTGAGCCGAGCCATCCTTAACTGGTGGTGATGCACAGGGGACATGCTTCGGGCATTCCATGCAGCCTTGCGGAACTCTCCCGTCAACACCAAGAATCAAGCTGTGAAGGTAAAGGGATCATGCTGCCGCTTTGCTGGGTGGTGCTCGCACCAGGGCTGTGGTTGTCTGTGTCCGCAGCTGAGGGCTCCCTGGGGCTCCAGACAGCGTCTGTTTTGTGTCCACCTCAGTGAGGATCTACCAAGAGAGTGAGTTGGCACTGGGCAGTGCTTCCATGGAAGCCTCCTGGCACTCCTGACATCAAAACTGTCTATGTTTATAGTAAAAGCTCCCCAAAGAAACATTCACTCCTCCCCAGGGCCTCATGGGGGTGAGAGGTTGGCCCAGCCCTTACTGCTTAGCAAAACTCTAAATTAGCTTGCCACATGGGACTTAGCAGTGTTTCTGCTTTAAAGGTTTTTGAATAGGCTTTATTTGCATAAGGATTTTCAGTCAAGATTTCCTGCCTTTTAAAAAGAAGGGCAGAAGATGCTTACTGCATCACAGCTGCTTAGAAGCTGTCTGAACTTGGGTTCAGGGAGAGGGGTCTCTCTGAAGCTGGGGTTTTGCCATCTTGTGACAGCATGGTGATGTCAGCAGCGGTTGCATCTCCTTGGTGGGGGGAAATGGCCCCCGTGTTACTGGGGTGAGTGCAGAGGGAGGCTGCAGCTTTTCTTACACCTGTGAAGAAAATAGACGTGTTAAGAAAACAGCTGTGATCTGGTGGCATCTGAGGCCCGGCCCATGTCATAGAGGCAGGTTTCTCCCCAGTAAACCACTCACTCTCCCCCAGATTAGTGGAAGAATTTATGGGCATAAAGAAGGGATATGTTGACATGTAAATAAATGAGAGGATTTGAGCACACTTATTTTGCAAGTAGCCCAGACAAGTCAGAAATTGGTCAGTGTTTCTGAGAATTCTGACCAGTTGGTGGGGCATTCCTGTGCCTGGGCTTTGGCCCTGGGCATCGCTGCCTCCTTCTCCTTCACAGGAACGAGCCCAGGGCGTGGTGCTGAAGGTGCTTACCAATTTCAAGAGCAGTGAGATTGAGCAGGCTGTGCAGTCGCTGGACAGAAACGGCATTGACTTGCTAATGAAGTACATTTATAAAGGGTTTGAGAAGCCCACAGAAAACAGCAGCGCTGTGCTACTCCAGTGGCACGAAAAGGTATGTGAATGCACCGCCCACACAGGTGGCCTGCTGACCTACCCCCACCCTGGGGTTCACGTGCGCAGGCCAGAGGACAGCCTGAGAGGCATGAGAGAGTAAGGGGCTCCACGAACAGCAGTCTAGGACGACTCTGGTCACTCACTTCTTCCATAGAAGCACCTGGTAGGGTTCACTGGCTTTGGTAATGGGAATTGCTTTAGCTGCTGATTTATGCCAGGCGTGTCATGGGCTTGCATGGTGAGATAGACAGGGAGTCCCAGGTGGGAGGGACGCAGGCTTGCTTGTGGCTGGGGCTTCAGAATACTCTCTTTGCGTCAGCGAAGGCAGCTGCTTCCCATTGGTGGAGATGGTGGTTGGGGAGGGTCTCAGGAACGCAGGCTGAGCCCCCAGCTGCCGCTGGGAGCTTCCTGCTCTGGCCTCATCCTCACTAGGCCAGAGCAGGCAGTGGCAGAAGCCTGGCTTTCACCGAATAGGGCCTTCAGCCACCTGAGGCACAAAAAGCTGTGCCTGTCCTTTGCTCAGGTCGATACAAGAGCGAGGCATTTCATCTAGCCTGTGTCCTGCCTGTGTGCCAACGTCCCCCGGCCCTGTAGAGGTACAGGAAGCTTGCTCATCATTATAGCAGACCAGGCTAGTACTAACGCTGCGTCCTTCCAGAAGGCTCTGTTGAGTTTTGAGGGGTCAGCCACTTGGACAGCCTCGGTGCTAGGCTCTTCTGGTGGCCCTTGGCCCTATTGCTGGGTGTGCTGGGCCTGCTCAGCCGGAAGGTGAACTCTCCTGGGCTTTTTTTGGGGAGGGTCTAGTGGCTGTGCTACTCGGAACTGAGCAAGCCCTCTGCATGGTGTGGAGGCCAGACCCTTTGGTCCCTGGTGCTGAGCCCCACTGACGTTTCTAAGGAGGGCCTGGGGAGGCAGCTGGAATGGGCTCATATCTTAAGTGTCCAGGGTAGTGAGGGCAGCCTGGAAACAGCATCAGAAGGGAGGCTTGGGGGGAGCTGTGCTGTGTGTGCTTGGTAACCATGGTCCCAAGCCCAGTTCTGCTGCTGGGAGCCAGCAGCACTTCAGGAGCCTTGGCTCCAGCTCCGTGCTTAGGATGTGGGCTCTCTTGCTACCTCCTAACTGCTCTTGCAGGAACCCATTTCCAGAGGATCGGTGACATGGTGGGACCTAGGTCCGGGGGTGCCAGTCCCATCTCCCCTGGCAAGCCGGGCTACCCCTTGGCCAGCCAGGTTTCATTTGACTCCTTTCCTTTTCCTGCCCCCACAGGCATTAGCAGTAGGAGGACTAGGCTCCATTATAAGAGTTCTTACAGCAAGAAAGACTGTTTAAAAAAAAAAAAAAAAAAAAAAAGGACTCATGTTCCCTTGAGAAGAATTTTGGATGCACAGGCTGACGAAGAAGGGATTGACAATGGACCATCTTCCTAGGAACTCCCAACTAAACTATTTCAGGACATGCATCCGCTGAAGTGTATTTTATTTTCGAGGTGGAGGGAGAAATTGTTTCCTAAATCCTTTGCAGGATCTGATAGTCTATGCCTTTGTCCATGAGTAACACAGAACTGACATTGTAACTGTCTACTGGGGTGGCTGGCCAGCGTTGGTCGGGTGTACCTGTGTGCTCTGCCTATTTCAAATGGGGGAGGGATGATTGGGCACATACAGATCCAAGGGCTGTGGTAAAAGGGAGAGCTTGTTTTTTTTGAAGTAGTAAAACGGAGGGTTTGTACAGACATCCCGTTTTCCCAGAGAAGACGGGCTCTCTTGGGTTCATTGTAAAGTGCCTGCTGCATCAATAAAGCTCTTGGCTTATTAGTATGTACTCCGTGGTGTGTTTTCCTGTATATAAAGTGAGTACTGAACCGGATGGTGGTGGGTGAGAAACTGATGTGGGGGGTGGATGTGCCCCTGTGGAGCGTCCCACCGCCCTCCTACCGCACCAGTACCTCAGGCCTGGGCGCGGTGCTACTGGCTGCTAAGCAGACAGATTTTGCCAAGTAACTATTGGTTTTACTCTTTTGATTTGTATGTAATATTGGAGCTTATTTAATAAAGTGCCAAACATTCAGTAATTGATCTAGGCTTTAAAAGTCTTTAGTCTGTGTGACTACACTTGGTATCTTTTGGGAGTGTACCCCAGAAGGGCCTGGTCACCATCTCCTGGCCCTGGCTTGGGCTGTGTGGCAGGAACACTTATCGAGACGCTGACAAGTTTAAATACAGAAGAAACATTGTGTTTTCTAGCCACCAACAGCCAGCTTCTCTGAAGAGCAAAGATGTTTTTCTGACCTTTTCAGCACATGGAACTGCACTTTGCATCCTCTTTTTTTTTTTTTTTAAATTTTTATTTATTTATGATAGAGAGAGAGAGAGGCAGAGACATAGGCAGAGGGAGAAGCAGGCTCCATGCACAGGGAGCCCGATGTGGGATTCGATCCCGGGTCTCCAGGATCGCGCCCTGGGCCAAAGGCAGGCGCCAAACCGCTGCGCCACCCAGGGATCCCTCTTTTTTTTTTTTTTAAAGATTTTATTTATTTATTCATGAGGGGGGGGCAGAGACACAGGCAGAGGGAGAAGCAGGCTCCCCACAGGGAGCCCCATGCGGGACTTGATCTCGGGACTCCAGGATCACGCCCTGGGGTGACGGCAGACGCTCAACTGCTGCGCCACCCAAGTGTCCCAGTTTATATCCTCTTAAAGGGCCCCACTGATGTGGTCCTTGGAGATAAGACATGGACCCAAGTGACACAATCCTTCCAATTCCTCTGCAGAAACCCCACCATTCCTGGGAAGTACCACTGGGCTGCTGGCTTCATTAAATCACATAGATTTACCTAAACTGGGGGATGCTTTCTGAAAGACAAGTGTTCTAGAGTTGTCTCCCCTTATCCCCCTTCTGGTACTTACTAGGTTACTGGTTTTTCATAAAAGGATATACTTAGGAGCAGCCAGATGGAAGAGATGCACCGGGGAGTGTAAGGGGGAAGGACACGGAGCTTCCAGGCTCTGAGCATGTGGCCCTCCCCAGCTCTCTGCTGACCAACCCACAAGCCGCTGTCCCCACACCTCTGCTCACCAAACTGGAAGGTCTGTTCTGTAGTCCATGTAGTTTGTCTTGGAGTATTAAATATGAGGCACAATGTACTAAATGTCATTGGTCAAATACACCAAACTATCAAGTAAAACCCACTGTAGTTGCATATGGATTAAAGAGCTTTAATCAAAAAGTGACACCACAAATGAATTTTCTACAGCAGTTTTAGATAATACAACTCCTAGTTACAACACGGAGAGATCCAAATCCAATGCTCATATAAAGGGGCTATACATACTGTCTCTTACAACATTTTATACAAGTAAAAGTGCATTAAATCACTTGGAATATTTACTCCATTCTTCCTCTTAAAGCTGAAGGAAATTCAACATGCAGGAGGAAAGCCTAATCAGAATGAATCCTCCCGAAGCAAGTCCAGGCTGAGTGCTGGCCCCACAGCTACACCTACAGCTGCTGGGGGATGTGGGTGGGGCAGAGGGAGACCAGCTCCGGGGCTGGAGAGGCCACAGCAGAGTGGGATGGGGCTCCCACCACAGGGTCACAGTTGTTGTGGGCAAGCCCTGAACCACCCGATTTGGGGATTCTCCTGGAACAGCTGGAAAAGCTACCTCTTGCCAAAATTATAGAACAGAAGGAATTCCTGTCTTGTGTCCCCACGAGATAAATGCAAAATAACATCTAAGCAGAGGAAAGCCATCTGCGGGGAGGAGCCACGGGAGGAGGTAGGTAACTGGACAATGGGTTGCTCAGGTGGCAGAGAGCCTAGCTGGGATGACGGGGATGCTGCCCTTCCCTGGTACTTCTAGGTCTGTGGAAATGTAGTACTTTAGCTCTGCAAATCCTTGTTTGCCTGTGAGATAAAGTTTATATATTTTAACCCTAAGCATTTCTGAGAAACAACTTTACATCATTGAATAACTGAAAATAAATTTGGGAGCTCCAGTTATTAACTCAGCTTTTTATTTAACCAGTGCAACTTATATCAAATGGAATCAATTAACATTCTCTCTTTGGATTCCATACTGTGGATTATCCAAAATAACAAAGCAAGTTGTCACCGGTCCCTACCAGAGCCACCTGCATGCTGTCCAGCACTGTAACCAGCTGGGGGCTGTCTGGAGGCCGTATCTGAATGCAGTGTCATCTTAAATATGCAGGGGGAGGGCGAGGGGGGAAGGTGGTAGCTCCACATACAAGGCAGACCACTTCCCAGGTTTTGGTCAAGGATGGGGGAGGGACAGCTGCTGCTTCCTCTGAGTGGACCAGACTGTCCTTAACCATAGCAGACATGTGATTAGCATTTGCTCAGTCTTCTACCAGAATTAAGAGGGAAGCAAATGAAACACCACCACTGCTTCAGAGGGAAGCAGAGACCACAGAATGCTAGTGAAATTAAAAAAGGGAAAGGAATTCTAATCTTAGAAATAATTTCCACCCGATGCTCTGATTTGCCTTTAGGAACACCAGTTAAATGGATTTTTATAATACAGAGACATGTTTATAATAGCGAAGAACTTTAGCTATAAAAAATAGTTTAAAATGGTTTACCAGCAACCTATCCATGACAAGTACATTCATTAAAAAGGCAATTGAGTGTATTTGGTACTAAGGATCTTTTTTTATATATTTGCTAGTTTTTTTCAGTAAAATGAGATACTGCCAGAAAGTTGCATATTCATTAATCCACACTGGCCCCAGAGTACCTTAAAGATGTACACATCCCAAGTTCTGGGTGGTTTGAGAAACAAGGTGAAATAATGTTTTCTGGAGAGGAAGGGTTAAAAAGCCTCTTCTATCTCATCTGAACCCAAACATGCTAACAGGGAAGGGGAATTTTGGAAAGCCACCCCAGTGAGTTGGCTCTCTGTGGCACAAGCAGGTGGGTCTGCTGGGCACCGCTTCAAAGGGCCTCATCACCACAGGATGGGTCAGGTGCCTCTTCTCTGACAGATGCTAATGGCTTCAGCTCTAAGGCTAACACAGAGGACTCAGGTGCAGAGGGGTGCTGGCCAGAGCTGGAATTTTAGCAGCACTGTGGAAATGTGGGTAGTGCCGGGACCCTTCCGTTTGGTGAGCACAATGACACAGGATCAGCCACCTCCTCAAGTTCAGATCAGTCTGTCGGGAAGGGGGCCTTAAGTCTTGTAAACAATGTTTGGACGCTTGTACAAAATACTGCAGTTACAGTGATTAAAAACCCACCCAGACTGGTGTGTCAGTGTTCTTTTCACAGAAAAAGTGTCATTGCATGGAGCTCCGCCTGTCGGTACTTCCATCTAGGACCATGGGATCCGAGGGTTGGAGATGGATGGCCGGATGCTGCCCTTGGGAGCTGGCTTGGACCCAAACCAAGACATCTGTTTGAAACAGAAAGGCTCCTGAGATGAGCATCAGGATTAGGTGCACAGGAAGCTGAAGGCAACCCCCTCCCCATCCTGGAGCCGCCTCTGTGGCCCGACGCCCTACGAGGCCTGCCATGAGTTCTGAGGCCTGCCGTGAGTTCCGTGGTGCAGACGCTGGTTGTGGGAACCAGCCTGCAGGGCCTGGAGCCCATTCTGACTATGTGAAGGGAACCAGAGAAAACAGTAGTGGAAGAACAAGGTACGGGAATGCAGGTAATTCTGCTTTAACAATTTCTTTTTGTTCTATTACTTCGGCAGGTACTTTCTGAATCTTTTATTTTATTTATTTATTTATTTATTTATTTATTTATTTATTTATTTTATTTATTTTTTTTTTTAATATAATCTTTTTTTTAAAATTTTTATTTATTTATGATAGTCACACAGAGAGAGAGAGAGGCAGAGACACAGGCAGAGAGAGAAGCAGGCCCCATGCACCGGGCGCCCGACGTGGGATTCGATCCCGGGTCTCCAGGATTGCGCCCTGGGCCAAAGGCAGGCGCCAAACCGCTGCGCCACCCAGGGATCCCTATTTTATTTATTTTTTTAAAAGATTTTATTTATTTATTCATAAGAGAGAGAGAGAGAGAGAGAGGCAGATACATAGACAGAGGGAGAAGCAGGCTCTACACAGGGAGCCCGACATGGGACTCGATCCCAGGTCCCCAGGACCACACCCTGGACTGAAGGTGGTGCTAAACCGCTGAATCACCCGGGCTGCCCTGAATAAAATGTTTTTTTAAAGGTCTGGATGCTGGACCAGACCTGGACCTGCAGATGTTAGCACTATCAGTGAAAATGCCTTGGAAGACATGAAGCCTGTTGGTGGAGCCCACAGCACAGCTGTGTGTGCATAAGGCACGTCCTCAGTACGTACCGCTGGGAAAGAGTTCACTGTGGATGCCGCCAAGGCAGCTGTGGGCCAGCTTCCCCGCCACCGCCGCTGCTGGGCTTGCGAACGACAGTTTCTAAGCGCCAGACGGCAGGCCGGAGACCTACCTTATACTCCAGGGTTTCTTTGAGCATGTTCTCTTCCTCTTGCGAGAAGTTCAGCAACACAGACACAGCTTTTATAAGGTGAAAAGCCTGTAAGAAAGTAAGTTTTGCTGCCATGGGCCTTGGTGGTGGTGGAGGGGGTGGTCGGAGGTCTAAATGGCGCTTCCTGGGTCTGCTCCCTACTGGAGGGCAAAGTTGGGCTTCCTCAGTTCTGACAATGACCGGTTTTCTTCCCTCCATCTCTTCCTCCGGGAACTGGAAGATTCCCAGGACATCCACAGCAGTTCCCCTGCTCTTCAGCAGGATGGAGGAATGCGGGGCAGGTTCAGCACCCAGCCCACACGGCCTCCCAGGAGCCAATCCCCTTCTCAGTCCCCGTTTGCTGCAATGAGGTCTGTGCCAGCTGGAGAAATGACCAAGTACCCACCCTGGCAGTCAGATCAGACCGTGTGAGAGGAAGACAGACATGGACTTGGTGGGAAGCCAGGAGAGGCTGGGACGAATGAGCCAAGCCCTCAGTACCCAAAAGGCAACTCACAAGCCCTTTACCTCAGATTCTCGACAGGACATGAATTTCAGAACCACGTGTTTCAGGTATTCAAAATTGATCTCGCGGGCATCAGTCAGGTCAGTGTTATTTGTGACAGAAGGAGCCATGTTTGGCATCTCAGGGCCAGGCTTCTCCCGGACTTCAAAGAGCTCATTGTCGGGTCTGATTTTCTGAAAGCCAAATGGAAAGATGCTACGTTGAACCCCTCATGACAGGTCTGAAAATCTCCTGGGAGAGTCAGCTGGCCCTACCTGTGACCCCCACTGCTCCTTCACGTGCCCCTGCACACAGTAGCAGGAGGGAGCCTCGCCCAGGAAGGAAGAAGGCTCAGCCCCTGGGGGGGGAGGGGCTCTGAGAGGAAGGACAGAAATCATCTGGGGGAGTTCAGGCATTTCCTTCACCCGTATCAGGACACGTCTGGGGCAGTGAGCACCCCCCAAAAGGGCAGAGGCGCTGCTCTCCTACGTCTGGGCATGGCACTCTGCTGTTCACCTGAGGTGCACACCTCAATGACTTCTCAGGGCACAGACAGGCTTAGAGAAGGATGGCAGTGCCCAAAGTCACAAAGCTACTTTTCAGAGGCATGTTCAAACTGGCAGAGCCATTGTCCCACCAGCTAACATCGGGCTTTCCAGAAACCTCTTGCAATCATCCGAGGTGGGGGCATGAGGCGAGCATCACCAGGCAGCAAGGGACCCCAGGAAGACCAGAGAGCCAGTGAGGGCACAGGCTGCAGGGACCAGAGGGGCACTTACCAGTTCCTTCTGGAGAGTCTTTTTGAGTTCGAGCATCCTCTGCTGCATCTGCTTTATGGTCTGAGACAAAGCCCCATCCCAGCAAAAAGCCATTCATTAAATGCACATCTCACCATCTTTAAGGTACAAAGGACGACAGAACAGACAGCCACCCCCTTGGAGCCCCATGCACCTGTTCTAAGGCCCTGCCTTGTCTCCTGAGAGGCTTGTGTCGTCACACCTGTGTGCCTGGGGCTCTTCCCCTTTCTGGCTGCTTTGCTTGCAGAGGCTCTCCAAGCCCCACAAAGGCCACTGTCACACACCACCTGTGGAGCGCTCAGGCCCCAGGGCTGCCCCAGCCTACCCACTCAGGACTGCTTCTGGTGCTCGCTTCTGTTAGGAGCGCAGCTGGAAACACCTCCGTACAGTCCACTTTGTCCTTCAGAATTCTGCTTATGTGCCCTGATCCCACCACTGCTCTCCTAAGACATCAGCATTTTTAATGTATGTGTAAAAGATCATGGTTTTTCTGTCCTTATCTATTTTTAGATTTTTCTTTAGTGAATTTAATTGGTATTGAGCCATAGTGTGATTTATTCCATACCCTAGTAATCATTAGAAAGACTAACCTCTGCTTTCCCAATGAAAGCACGTACAGTATAATCAGCAATAGTGGAAAAAAATGCTAAACGTTTCTCCAAAGTCTTACAACTGTAACATATCCAAATTAGTTTTTCCTGTGGACTTCCTGTCCATGTCCCCAATCTTGCATCAAGTTGCTAGAATTTTGAATAGGGTTTTATCAGAATTTTCACACCTTTCCACAGTTATTTTTTTTTAAGATTTTTATTTTATTTATTTATTCATAGAGACACACACACACACACACACACACACACACACAGAGAGAGAGAGAGAGAGAGGCAGAGACACAGGCAGAGGGAGAAGTAGGCTCCATGCAGGGAGACCGATGTGGGACTCAATTGCAGGTCTCCAGGATCACGCCCTAGGCTGCAGGCGGCGCTAAACCGCTGTGCCACCGGGGCTGCCTTTTTTTTTTTTTTTTTTTAAAGTAAGCTGTATATCCAATGTGGTGCTTGCACTCAAGACCCCGAGATCAAGAGTGGCAGGCTCCACCATTGGGCCTGCAAGTGCCCCCTTGATTTTAACTTTTATTTTTATTTTTAAATTTTATTTAATTATTTATGTGAGATATATATAGAGAGAGGCAGAGACACAGGCAGAGGGAGAAGCAGGCTCCATGCAGGGAGCCCGATGTGGGACTGGATGCCGGGACTCCAGGATCAGGTCCTGCTGAAGAAGGGCTAACTGCTGAGTCACCCGGGCTGCCCTGATTTTAACTTTTAATGTGACAGTAATTCCAGGGAATGCTCCATGTCTTAAAATGGGACTGAGCCTCCCTTTTCTTTTCTTTTTTTTTTTAAGATTTTATTTATTTATTCATGAGAGACAGAGAGAGAGGCAGAGACACAGGCAGAGGGAGAAGCAGGCTCCATGCAGGGAGCCCAACGCGGAACTCGATCCCGGGTCTCCAGGATCGCGCCCTGGGCCAAAGGCAGGTACTAAACCACTGAGCCACCCAGGGATCCCCGTGAGCCTCCCTTTTCAAAGTGGCAATCAGCTTTGCTTTCTCCCGAGGTATGTCCACAGTTTCTCCCCAGAAATGAGATGGCTCTGTCAGGGGCCCAGCTCCTGTCAAGCACATTAAATGGCCTCCAAACACACCCTATTTTACAAGTGGTAACATGTTGTTTCAATCTGTTATTCTCTTGACTGACCATGAGGCTGAACATTTACCCAGAAGTACATTTGCTATTTTATGTTACCTGATTTTCTAGGTTTTTGGCTCACTGATTAATTCGTCTAACAAATACCGATTGAGTCTCCACTGTGTGGTGGACAGTGACCTAGAGGCTGGGGAAAAGCAATAAGCAAAACAAGAAAAATACCTGGTCTCAGGAGGGAAAAGTGTCAATAACCAAACTTTCAGTATATCAGAAGGTATTAAGAGGCGTGGAAAGAAAGAGGTAGGTCAGGGGACAGGAGGTTCTGAGATGAGGGCTGCCAGTGATAGCACGGAGGCCTCGTTGACAAAAGGATACCATAAAGGAAGTGAGGGAATTGCAGGAAGCATCTTCCAGACAAAAGGCTCAGCAAGTGCAAAGGCCCTGAGTCAGGAGGGTGCTTGGTATTCACACAAAGGCAAGGCCGATGTGGCTGAGGGGGAGTGCTGCAGGTGACAGAGGGGGCACAGAACAGGTACCAAGGGGCCAAAACACACAGGGCACCATGCGCCACCGCAAGGACTTGGCTCTTACAGAGAGATGGGAAGTCATCAAAGGGCTGGAACCAAAGGGTGACAGGGAGCCAGTCAGAAGCCCAACACCAGCCTGTAGGGGAGAGACAATGGCAACCCGATCTTGGGTGGCAGCAGTGGTGGGAATAAGGAGCAGCTCATTTGAGGTGTAGTCTGAAGAAACAACTAAAAGGACTGGTTAACGGTGTGGATGATGCTTGTGGAAGAAACAAGGGGGTTGGGCAGCCCCGGTGGCGGACCGGTTTGGTGCTGCCTGCAGCCTGCGGTGCGATCCTGGAGACCAGGGATCGAGTCCCACATCGGGCTCCCTGTGTGGAGCCTGCTTCTCCCTCTGCCTGTGTCTCTGCCCCTCTCTCTGTGTCTATGAATAAATAAATAAAGTCTTTAAAAAAAAAAAGAAACAAGGGGGTTGAGAATGACACCATGATTTTTATTTTTCCCATTTCCTGAGCTAAGAAGGGTGGCAGCTGTGCTAGGCATACAGTGAGTCTGAAGTTTGGTTTTGGATGGTGCAAGTTTCAGATGCTTTTTAGACACTGCTGAGGAGGTACAGAGATGATTGAGGGTTCCCAGGGGCTGTGTGGGTTTGCGAGAAGGACATGGATGCTCCCAGCACGGAGAGAGGAGTCTGAGGGGTGGGCCCTGGGACACCTGGTATTTGTGCGCTTTTCTATATGTATTTATTTTTTCTTTTTAATTTTTTATTTGTCAGAGAAAGATACACAGAGAGTGCACATGAGTAGGAGGTAGGGGAGAAGCAGGCTCCCTGCTGAGCAAGGAGACTGATGGGGTACTTGATCCCAGGACCCTGGGATCATGACTGGAGCCAAAAGGAGATGCTCAACTGACTAAGCCACCCAGGTGCCCCTCTGTATATTATATTTCACAGTAAGATTAAATGTGTGTGTGAAAGAGACAGAGAGAAAGAGCACTTTTCCCTTTTGTTAAAGCTCTGAACAAATACACACCCACAATGACACACTTGAGGCTAGAGTGATGAGCAGCCAACACTTTAACTTGCCAGGACACCTGGAGACAAGGATCAAATGACACCCCACATGTGCAGGTGCAGAGGCTGGAGGAGAGGTGGAATCATGACATTTACCAGGCCTCTGCCAAGTACCAGAAAGTTGACGGGACAGCTAACAAACACTTTCATTTCACCCCCCAACATGCCCCCCAGTAAAACCACTTGAAGACCGACATCGCTGGGTTGTTTCACAGCTGTGGAAAGGAATTAAGAGGTAAGGTCCAACATGACCCACTGGTGACAGCAGAGGTGGGTGTGAACATCTGAACTTGCTGCTTGAGCTCTAACACTCTGGATGTTATCTCACATGGGGGAAAGTGTGAAAGGCAGGCAGCAAGGTGGAAATCCAGGAAAAAGGCCTTCGGATAAAGCGGGAAGATCTCCCCCAAGATGTGCCCAAGGGCATCCACAAAACTCTCTTAAGAAGGGACCAAACAGGGATGCCTGGATGGCTCAGTGGTTGAGCGGCTGCCTTTGGCTCAGGGTGTGATCCCAGGGTTTGCAATTGAGTCCTGCATCGGGCTCCCTGCAGAGACCCTGCTTCTCCCTCTATCTGTGTCTCTCATGAATAAATAAATAAATCTCTAAAAAAAAAAAAAAAAAAAAAGAAGGAACCAAACGGTTTCAGGCACAGATACAGGAAGGGTGCAGGGAGATAAACAGCTGAGGCAAAGGGCCCCATCACCTTATTTTTCTCCAGAAGTTGCTGCTCCAAGTCCTGTTTGTCCTTCTGTAGCTGCTCTAGGTCCATGACCCCCACCTCGCCATTCGGGACGCCCTCTGCGGCTGAAAGCTGGAACGTGGGGTCCTGCGTGGCCCTCGAGGTTACCTACAGAATGGCGGCAGCAAGCTGAGCCAGGACAAGGTTGGGGTGATGCTAAGCCATAGGTCTGTGGGGAAGGGGACCAGATTGGTTCTGGAGGTGCAGACTGAGGTACTGGAACAGGCAGCTGGCCGAGAGCCATGCCTCAACCGCGGAGCTCCTGTCCTATGCCTTCCAATGTCATAATCACCTGTCCACACAGCAAGGGTCTGGACACCTGCCTTTGACACGTGGTGCCACATCCGATGGGCTCCTCAACACCCACAAGCTCTTACTCGGTTAAGCACCCCACTTTAAAGATGGGGGTGAAAGCACAGGGAAGTGACTTGCCCAGCATCCTGGAGGAGCATCAGCGCTTCCCCCTGCATCTTCCTATCGCCTCCTAGTGGCAAACAGCAGTCGGTGGTCAGCCATGTGTCCTGCCACAGCACTCTCCTGCCACCAGCTGCCTCTGCCACAGCACATGCTGCCGCCCCCAACCCAGGCCCGTGGTTCAGATGGGGACTCACGAGAGGCTCGGGCACCGAGCGTGTCAAGCCCTGCTCTGGGCTGGGTAGCCTCAGCTCCTCGTCCCTTGTAGTCCCCCTCAGGCTCCGCAGGGCTTCCAGCTCACTCTGTAGCTGGCGTGTTTGCAACAGGACAGAGTCGTGACCTGGGCCGGGCAGAGGGGAGCATGGTCAGCCCAGTGACTCCACGCCACTTCGGGGCAGGGGTACTGGGTCGGGGCAGGTGAGCAGGCTCCACAGGGGCAGACTCCTTACCTTTCTTCAGTTGGAAGATCTCCTGCTCTTTCTGGAGAATCACTTCAGCCCTTTCCTGCAAAGTCTGCTCTTTCTCGTCTACCACAGCTGTGAGGTTAGCAGCCTTGGACAGAAAGACCAACATGAGAAGGCTGGTGACAGTAACCCCATTTCCCCCAAAAGGAATCTCCAATTTTCCATGACCCAGGGTCCCCCATGAATCCCTCCCTGCAGTCCACGGCCTAGAACATCCTCTAAATTAAGCTCTGCTCCTCTGGACATGCACAGGGCAGGGGCCAGGGCCCGACACAGGAGCAACTGCCCTTGCTGCCCACCTGGCCTATGCTGGGCCTACTGGGCATGGCGGCTGTTGTGCCCGGCCTTCCAGCAAGCTGCATAACCATGACTTCCAGGTCCCGAGTGCCTGCCACACGCCTGACATTTGATACACGTGACCTTGTTACACATGATGTTTGTTACATCTCCTGAAAGGTGTAATTATCCTAAAGTCTTTCCAGAGGCAACGGAGACTCACTTTTGTTAGGGGACTTACTGAAGGCCTAAAGCCCATTCACTACAAGTCTGGGGCCTGAGGCAGAGTCTTTATGAAAAGAAAGGTATTCCCCACCCTTCCCCCTGAGAGCTCAAGTGAATTATAGTCTTGCGGGCCTATGGGCAGTGATGGCCCCCTACGGAATTCGGAATTCGAGCCCAGCAGGTACCCCAATAGGGGCTTTTCCCCAGGTGAGCTTTATAACAATAACTGACCATCAAAAATCGCAAAAGCCTTATCCTGTGGGATGAGGATTTATTTATTTATTTATTTATTTATTTATTTATTCATTCATTCATTCATTCATTCATTCATTCATTCATTCATTCATTTATGATAGTCACAGAGAGAGAGAGAGAGAGGCAGAGACATAGGCAGAGGGAGAAGCAGGCTCCATGTACCGGGAGCCCGACATGGGATTCAATCCCCGGTCTCCAGGATCACGCCCTGGGCCAAAGCCAGGCGCCAAACCGCTACGCCACCCACGGATCCCGAGGATTCTTTTTTTTTTTTTTTTAATTTTTATTTATTTATAATAGTCACAGAGAGAGAGAGAGAGAGGCAGAGACACAGGCAGAGGGAGAAGCAGGCTCCATGCACCGGGAGCCCGATATGGGATTCGATCCCGGGTCTCCAGGATCGCGCCCTGGGCCAAAGGCAGGTGCCAAACCGCTGCGCCACCCAGGGATCCCCCGAGGATTCTTTATAACACTTTTCTCCCACCTTCCTAGAGACATCAGGGGAATCACGCAGTTAATGGCATTCCTGAGACCTCTGTCCACTCCCTGTCCTGGACACATGGGGAGGTAGGCTAGTCCTACCTGAGGCTGGAACAGACCACCCTTGGGCCCACACCTCAGGGTCACATGGGGCCTACCTGTCGCTGGAACTCTTCTCTCTGCTTCCGCACCTCCTCTAGGGCTTGAGCCATTGCAACACTCACAATTTCTCTCTGGCTCCATTCTTCCTACAATCCAGAAGATAGGGAAGAGGGTGGGTCCCAAAACTCATTCCACAGCTTTTTTTTAACTGCATACTACCTGCAGCCTATTAAGGGCCAGACTAATGTTCTTCCTGCTTCTTGGGGTTCCTGGGCTGCCCTCTTGCTGTAATGTCTTCTGTATCCCTCTGGGAACTGTCCTGGTGGGAAACCCATCGACCTCTATGCAAATGGACACACCAGCTAGTTCTTGGGCTGAGGTTAGGGCATCCAGAACTTGAAGAGAAGAGCTGGTCTAGTGAAATCAACACAAGAAGATTCTCAGGCCCCTGTGAATGGACTAGTGGACTGGAGCAACCCAACTACAGGAAAAATAATAAGGGATGACTGAATTAGAATAGGGCAAAATGCCACAGACTCATCAAAACTATCCATTTTCTAGGACAGAAAGGCTCTGAGATGTTAAAGCGCCTGAGGTCCCACAGCTGGTTAGTGGCATAGCAGGTTTCAAGCCACCATCTGAGTTCAGAGCCAAGGCTTTGGATGTTAGACTCTCCCACCCGGATTATTTCTTATGCTGAGCAGGGTTGGCTCTTCAGCCTTCCCCAGAGCACAGGGATTGTCTCCTTACAAACGCATCAGTCCTCTTCCCTGAGACAGAGGCCGTGCTTACTGCTCAATTCTCAGACTTCTCAGGTGCCTTCATTCTGGTCAGGGACATCTACTGTTTCTGTCTACTATCAGGATTGCCCTATTCTGGGGGGTAAGAGCCTCATTATTGCTATTCCCCACTTCCACCCCACAGTTCCACATGGTTCTGGTAGGGCTGCCAATAACAATATGCCAATTTTGTGGCTACAAGGATAAGCATGTAATTCAGACCTAGCTGATCATAGTTCTACAGCCCAGGGCCAAAATAATCTCAGAGGTGGCTCTGTTATCTAAGATGGACCAATCAGAATCCCTTTTTATATCAGAATCCTTTTTTATATAGTGAAACCTAGGGAGAGAAGTCCTCTTTCCTAAGGTGGCATGTTACCAGCTTGGAGGTGCTATGGTGGTATCCTCCTAATTTGTATACCGCAGTCTGCATCATGGAGGAAAAGCAAGGCCAAGTTTGGTAACTGAGAGGGCAAGAAACAGCATGATGCAGGAAGAAGAGACCTGAGTCCCTCACCACTCAGGTTGTAGTTGGACAAGACTTTCTGGTTCTGTGAGCTACTTATCTCCCCTAATGACACCTCCCTTTCCAGTGATACCGGTACAAGTTGGTTAATGGAGGGAGAGGCCAGCCTCCTGACCAGAGGCATTCTGGTTCCTACTGTGGAGCTGTCGGAATTGACCTTCTGTTGAGTCTGTTTCTAGTAAAGACGAGAAAAACAAGTGCCTGAATTCAAGAGTAGAGACCTTGCTTTACCCTAGACAACATCTCTCAACAGGGGAGACTTTGTTGATGCAGGAGAAGCACCTCTGAAAAACCCTGGCCTGTGGGTCCAGGTAGAGGGTGGTAGAAGCCTTTTCTGGGAGAGTGAGAGGAGAGCTCTGACTGCTGATGCCTAAGAGGACGGCAGGCAGACCAAGAGAAAGACAGGAAAGCAGGTCGGGGCAGGAACCAGAGACTCAAAGCACCTCTATGCCAGGAACTGCAGGCAGCACTTTTCATCCAGGGTCACACTTGATCCTCAGGGTAATCCTCTGGAAGTCAAGGGTTAATAGGTTCAGTTTGAAAAAAAAAAAGGAGACTAGATTCCCTCAAAAATCAGCCAGTGAGGGGCTTGGCTGGCACACAGAACTGAGTTCACGCAGCTGTGAAGTCCGCGCTATTGCCACAGAGCCACAGTTGAGCCTGGACTATGGAATTTGAGGCTGCTTGGCATAGCTCAGGTCTGCTGCAGAAGCCACTGGGCTTCCTAGCTTTCCATACCTGGGAATGACTTCCCTGAGGGAATTCTAAATATATATGCACCCAAAAACAGTGCTTCAAAATACTTGAAGCAACGATTGACAATTAATGGGAGAAAGAGACAAATCCAGGATCACAGTTCCAAGATTCAGCATGCTGCTCTATGTGACGTAACGAGAATACAAGAGAGAAGAATCAGAACACACTCAGGAGATACGGACAATACTATGACTCCGTATGGCGTACTCTCCCCAGCTGCAGTGTGTGTGGAGATACTTCCCAAGACAGGCTACAGGCTGGTCATGAAGACAAGCCTCAATAAATATCAAAGGACTGAAATCAGTTGGTGTCTTATTGACTGTCATAGTATTAAACTAGAAATCCAAGATATCAAAAAAATTCCCCAAATGTGTGAAAATTAAGCCCACTTCCTAACAGCCTGCATGGGCTGGGTTTTAAGTTACTGCTTATCAGCCCCCCTTTATATCCAGGGCTTTGCCTGCTGTACCTGGGACTCTGCTCCTCAGGCTGGTTCCATATGAACCTTAGCCCACAGGAGGCACTTGGGGGAGACTGGAAGGCAGGGGACAGAGCCAAAGATGTGCTCCGTCCTCCTCGTTTCCAGATTCTGTGAGCAGTGCTGCTTGGTCCTGGCAGCAGCGACTTCTTCCCAAAGCAGTAGTACATCCATGCGGCAGTTTTTCCCCACACTTGGGGCTGACTTCATTCCCCCAAAACCCCCAAGTGCCCACTGAACAGTGCCTCCCACTCACAGGTCTAAGTATCAGATCTATGGAGCTCTTTGTCTTAATCCCTAAGATTAATAATTCCACCTTCTTTGCTCTGTTCCCTTAGTCGTAGCCATTCCTGCAGGGAATGGCTTCGTGAGATCTTCTATCAGTTTCTGCTAAAAACTTTACGTAAGAACATAAATTCTCAAATAATTGGTATGGTTCCTTTCTCAGGACTGGACCCAGATGGGCACAGTGCAGGACAGATTTTGTTTCTTTCTGTGTACATTAGCTGCAATGATCATTGCTCTTCATTCTTCCTTACTGCTTTACATCTTTCATGCATCTATCTAGAATCTTCCTTCACCTGGATGATGCTCTCTAGCACTTCCTTTATTTTTGTTTTCTCTAGCACTTCCTTTAGTGCAAATCTGTTGGTGACTAATTCCTGTTTCTATTTTATTGTTTTTGTTTTTTTATTTTATTTTTATTTATTTATTTTTTTTAAGGTTTTTTTTTTAATTTTTATTTATTTATGATAGGCACACAGTGAGAGAGAGAGAGGCAGAGACACAGGCAGAGGGAGAAGCAGGCTCCATGCACCGGGAGCCTGACGTGGGATTCGATCCCGGGTCTCCAGGATCGCGCCCTGGGCCAAAGGCAGGCGCCAAACCGCTGCGCCACCCAGGGATCCCCATGTTTTATTGGTTTTTATAGTTCTACTATCATGCTGTGTCTGGCTATAAGTTTTATTTTTTAATTTTTAAAATTTATTTATTTTAATTTTATTTATTTCAGAGAGACACACAGAGAGAGGCAGGGACATAAGGCAGAGGGAGAAACAGACTCCCTCTGGGGAGTCTGATGTGGGACTTGGTCCTAGGACCCCAGGATCACAACCTGAGCCAAAGGTAGATGCTCAACCACTGAGCCACCCAGGTGTCCCTCTGGCTATAGATTTTTAAATTTATCCTGGGGGTGCCTGACTGGCTCAGTAGGAAGAGCATGTAATTCTTGATTTTGGGGTCGTAAATTTGAGCCCCACACTGGGGACAGATTACTAAAACAAATAAACCTTTTTAAAAAATATTTTATTCATTTATTCATGAGAGACAGAGAGAGAGAGAGAGAGGCAGAGACACAGGCAGAGGGAGAAGCAGGCTCCAAGCAGGGAGCCCGACATGGGACTCGATCCCGGGACCCCAGGATCACGCCCTGGGCCGAAGGTGGCAGGCACTAAACCACTGAGCCACCCAGGGATCCCCACAAATAAACCTTTTAAAAAAGCTCCACAATAACAGGTGCCGGGGATCCCTGGGTGGCTCAGTGGTTTAGCGCTTGCCTTTGGCCCAGAGCATGATCCTGGAGTCTTGGGAATCAAGTCCCACATCAGGCTCTCTGAGTGGAGCCTGTTTCTCCCTCTGCCTATGTCTCTGTCTCTCATGAATAAATAAAAATAAAATCTTTAAAAAAAAAACAAAAACAGGTGTCTGCGTGCCTCAGTTGGTTAAGCATCTGCCTTTGGTTCAGGTCATGATCCCAGGGTCCCAGGTCCTACCCACATCAGGCTCCCTCCTCAGTGAGAAACCTGCTTGTCCCTCTGTCTGCCATTCCCTCTGGTTGTGCGCTCTCTCTCTCTCTCTCTCTCTCTCTCAAATAAATAAGTAAAGTCTTTAAAAATTTTTTTTAAAATAACATTTATCCTATTTGGATTTGTAAGAATCCTCATACCTATACCTGTGACTTGACAGCTTTTAGCAGTTTGGAAACTTCTCAGCTATTAATGCTTCAATAATTGCTTTGGTCTCAGGGCACTTGGGTGGCTCATTCATTTGCGTCTGACTCTGGGTTTCCACTCAGGTCACTATCTCATCAGGGTTGTGAGACCAAGCCCTGTGTCAGGCTCTGTGCTCAGCGTGGAATCTGGCTGGGATTCTCTCTCCCTCTCCCAACCTCCCCCTGCTCTCTTTCTCTCTCTCCAAAATAAATAAATAAAAAATAAATAAAATCCTTAAAAAAAAAAATCGTTGCTTCAGTCTCACTTGTGTGCGCCCTTCTGGGTCCCCACGGACCTGGATCAGGCACCTTGCAGCATCCTGTCTTTTATCATGCCTTTTCTATATTTTATTCTACCCTTCCTTCACTTCGCTAATTCTCTAGTGAGTTCTAATCTGCTCTAAAACATATTCATTATTTTTTTAATGTATTGTCATTTATTTATTTTTAAAGATTTTATTTATTCATGACAGGGAGAGAGACAGAGAGAGAGAGAGAGACAGAGAGAGAGACAGAGAGAGAGAGAGACAGACAGACAGACACAGGCAGAGGGAGAAGCAGGCTCCATGCAGGGAGCCCAATGTGGGACTTGATCCCGGGACTCCAGGATCACACCCTGGGCCGAAGGCAGGCGCTAAACCGCCAAGCCATCCAGGGATCCTCTGTATTGTTTTTTAAAACAATTTTCCTGAAGTATAACAATATGCTATGCATATCTCAAATGTGCAACGTGGTGACTTAGGGTGAAATTAGTCAATGAAAACCATGAAAATACTCATTACCCACGAAAGCTTCCTCATGCCCTTTGGAGTCTACCATGTTCTATGTTCCAGCCCTACACACTCTGGCTCTGACGTTCTTACATGTTTTCCTTTTAACACTGCTGCTTTTTAGTAGTTACCAGATCTCTGCTGAAAATTTCAATTTTTCCTTTATGCCCTTAAACATAGTAAGTGATATAATATCTGAACCCCCTAATTTCTGTACTTGCTTCTTTTCCAGAACATTCTCTACAGCCAGAGTAATCATTTTAAAACAAAACTTCTCCCATCACTCCTTTGCTTAAAACTCCCAACTGTTTCCCTGCCTGCCTCCTCTCATCTTGTTCGCCCCTAGCCCCCTAAGCGGCAGCCACACCAGCCTTTGTGCTGTTCTCCGAACTAAACTTTTTTCTGTCTCAGAGCTTTTCTATTTGTGATTTCTTCAGTCTGGACTATTCCTTTTCCCAAAAAGGCACATTGCTGGCTCCTTCTCAAGAGTCAGGGCTTTTGCTTAAATATCACTGAAGCCCTCCCTAACTTCCATATTTAAGAGTCCTCTCTTCCCTACTCCCTGTCACTCACTCTGGTTTACTCTACACTGAATTTAAGACTAGTGCTCATCTGCTATCTCTAGTTACAGACTCCACAGGGTGGGGGGTAGGGGGTGGAGTTTTGCCTGTTTTGCTCAGATCTCAACACCTCCAGTGGTGCCTAAATGTTTGTTGAAGGAATACACAAACAGCTGTGACTCCAGGCACACGCTTCCCATGATTCAGCACCACTGCATTAGCACCTACCTAACTTGGCAGAGACTGTTACTGAAAGCTTACTTTATGCAGACCCTCAGCTGTGGATGTTCTGAGAAGGTCTCTGCCGAAAGACCCACAAGATCTCTGTGTCATGAACAAGTAGGGCAAGTGCTGCTATGATCCATCATCTAAGAGCTCCTATGAAAGGGGACAGAGAAGCCTGGAGGCCTCTAAGAAAGTGGCAGAAATTCTTTCCCTTGCATCCAGTTATGTCCAGGCAGAGAAGTGGGCAGCATCTGATTAAAGCACTGAGTTCTCAGAGGGGAAAGGGTAACAATCCAATAGACTGTTTCTTCATCTCTACACACAGGCTCCAACATAAATACGTAAGGTCCTTACAACCATTTAAGTCCTTACTTTACCAATTCCCCTGGAAAAGTCAACAACACTAGTGCTGTGACAACATGACTTTCAGGCAGCTGCTGACACAGACAGAGAGCTGGCTGAGTGAAGTCAGACCAGCATCACCTTAAACTAACTAGAGAACTTTGGGCAGAGCCTCAAATGACATTAACTACAAAATGAGCATAATTCTTCCTACCATCCTGGATCACCGAAAGGACTTAATGAGTAACGATTTCTAGCAAATGTCTAACAGAACTGTTGAAGAAATGCTAGTTCACGCCTTCTCCACTCTGAGTACAAAAATTTCACCGCGCTGCTCCCAATACACGTGTAAAAGACAGGCTGTGACATGCTGGTGCTGTTAGATAAATACCTTTAGCTTCTTTAGTTCAAGCTGGTGGTGTTGTAAAGAACATTCACATTCATTCTTACTTTGTCTGAGGGCTGCATTTTCTTGCTCCAGCTTTCTCTGCAAATTGAGAAATGCACATGTAAGAAGACAAGGGCTTTACCCTATTTCCCCCGGACACAGTCCTACAGACATGGAACCTTTGAAAATGCACCCCACCCTTTGTGGGGTGTGGTGTGGAGATGAGAATGGGGCAGGGGTAAGAAAAAGCCAGCTGACACATACCTCACAATGCCTCACAAGAAGAAATATGGCACCTGACTCTGAAGATGCATGGCAGGGAAAGGAAGGAGAGGGAAAAGCCATGAGGGAGGAATGAGAATACTGCAGAGGAACAGTGGGAAGAGGCTGAAGGGTCTGCTCAGGAGGTACCAATGCAGCCCGTAAAAAGAGAAAACCCGGGGATCCCTGGGTGGCTCAGCAGTTTAGCGCCTGCCTTTCGCCCAGGGCGTGATCTTGGAGTCCCAAGATTGAGTCCCACATCAGGATCCCTGCATGGAGCCTGCTTCTCCCTCTGCCTGTCCCTGTCTCTCTCTTTCCCTCTCTCTGTGTCTCTCATGAATAAATAAATAAAATCTAAAAAAAAAAAAAAAAAAAAGAGGAAAACCCATCTGTCTGGGTTTTATAAAAGGCAGGCTTTTTATATCCATTCTCATGAGCAGGTATCTTGCTGGAAAGAGAAAAGCTGCTCTAAAAAGTGGTTCCCTAGCTTAGCAGGGGCTGATATTCTGTCAACGACTTAGCAGCGCAGCAGCATGTGAACCTGGCGCTTATAAGCCTGGCCTCCCTCCTCTCCTCACTCACCACCTCTTGCTCTGCAGCCGTGTGGTCGGCCACCCGGGCTCTCTCCAGGGCAGCAAGCTGGGCCTCCAGTGTGTGGACACGCTCTGTGCACTGCTGCTCCAGAGCAAGGGCCTGCTGCCGTGTACGGCTGCTCTCCTGGTTTGCTGCAGCCTGTGGGGTGGGGGTGGGGACAATTATCCGTGGTGACAATAAGGACCCCATTCTCTCCCTCAGACCCAAAGATGGCTGTCCAGTAGAAAGAATTCTGCTTCCTGATCTCTGGCCCAGGTGCTGTTGAGGTCTCTACCTGCAGCTCTGCCTCTTGCCCCTGGTCTGTTCAGTAGTTGAAGTCTGGGACTGGTCTTGGTGCTAGGGGGATAGCTTAGGGCACCAGCCAGTCCTAAGACACAGCCCTCTTTCACCCGTCTTGGTACTGCCCTCTATGGCTGAGGCTTCCCTAGGGAGGCAGTATTGATCTTTAACTAATGATGGGGTTATGACCCAATGATCCCATTATAAGTTGAAAATAATAAGTTGAAACAAGCATCATAGCTTATCCTAGCCTACTTTAAATGTTCAGAACAGGGACCCCCTGGTTGGCTCAGTCAGCAGAGCATGTGACTCTTGATCTTGGGGTTGTGAGTTTGAGTCTCACATTGGGTGGAGAGATAACTTAAACACAAAATCTTTTTAAAAAAAAATTTTTTTTTTAAATGCCCAGAACACTTACATAGCATAGCCTACAGCTGGGCAAAGCCTATTTTCTACTGAAGTGTTGACTATCTCATGTAATTTACTGAATACTGCACTGAAAATGAAAAACAGAAAGGCTGTATAGATACAGAATCGATGGTTTACTCTGTGATCACAGGACTGCCTGGGAGATGTGGCTCCCTGCCACTGTCGGGCATGGAGGGAGAGTATCATACTGTGCATCGTTAGCCCAGGAAAAGCTCAAACTTCAAAATTTGAAGTATGGTTTCTACTGAGTGCATACTGACTTTGCATCTCATAAAGTCAAAAATCATTAAGCTGATCAATCATAAATCAGGGACCATCTGTAAAATACAGTGAAGATGAACAAGGCCTTTGACCCAAGAAAGATGGGGGTTCTGCCATTTATTACCTAGGAGACCATGACCTCTGGGTTACTGAACCAGCTTCCTCTAGAGTATGAGGATAACAGCACATACCTCTGAGGTCTGTAGCAAGGACTGAAGGAAACACGTGCTGGATATTTAGCACAGTGACTGGCATGGCAAACGTACAGTAAGTACTGTTTTTATTTCTCTAGATTCTAACTCAACACTCCATTTGGGGCTGTGACAGCTGGCCAAACCCTTGGCCGTGTTCTCCCCAGAGCCAGGACTGTTCTCCACAGCCCTGGAGGTTGGAGGTTGGACTGTCGAGTTATCCCCTCCTACAGTCTCAGAACTAGGTTGGGCCCTATGGCCAGCAGTCAGATGGGAATTAGCCAGTCTCTCTCTCCTTTGGTAATTCAGATCCTCCAGCAGGTCCTGACTCTCTGCCTGCAGCTGCCCACCTGCTCACATCCAGCTCAACTGTATCGAAGGTCAGGTCCAAATACCTCACTAGAGTGAGTCTGGAGCAGCTAGCTGCAAAGGCGTAAAGGGCAAGCATCAGGTGCCTAGAACAAGCAGCCACAAGAACCACTTACGAGCTCCTGAATCTGAATTTCCTGAGCCACCATGACATCACCACTGTGCTTTAGCTTCTCCTCAGATGCCTGCAAGTTCTGCTGAAGTTCTTTCACCTGAGGGGGAAAGAGAAGCATTGTTTCATTCAAAAGAAGCTGAAGAGTGGTAATAATTAACTTTAAAAATCAAATCTATTTAAATCATAAAGCGAGTACATTACAGAATTTTTTAAAAAGATTTTATTTATTTATTTGAGAGACAGCACACGAACAGAGGGGGAGCACGCAGAGGGAGAAGCAGACTCCCTGTTGAGCAGGGAGCCTGATGCAGGGCTCAATTCCAGAATCCCAAAATCATGACCTGAGCCAAAGGTAGACATCTGACTGACTGAGCCATCCAGGTACCCCCAGAAAATGTTTCAATTAGGAAAAAAGACACAGACACCTATAGATCTACCATGATACAACACCACCATTCTAACATATTTTCCTCTGCTGTATTTTTATGACTGCCTTTTTTTTTAAAATACGTGTAAGTTCCTTTTTTTTTTTTAAGATTTTATTTATGTAGTCATAGACACAGAGAGAGAAGCAGAGACACAGGCAAAGGGAGAGGGAGAAGCAGGCTCCATGCAGGGAGCCCGATGTGGGACTCCATTCCAGGTCTCCAGGATCACACCCAGGCTGCAGGCGGTGCCTAACTGCTGGGCCACCGGGGCTGCCCCCCTCCCTTTTTTTTTTTTTTTACAACTCTGTATATAATTCCAGGAATACTGTGTTTCTCCTCCTTACGTTTCCTTCTGTATCCCATGTAGTCATCAGAACTTAAATTATTTCTTTAAAGGATATTGCACAAAGTATTGAACCATTCCTACTGTGCTGGCAGTTGGGCTGTGTCCCACTTTCCCATCTGAGATAACACAGCTGTTATCTCAGTGACATCTTCACCGAACATTTTGTGACCTGGTTTGAGCCACTTCCTTAGGCTAGATTCCCAGAAGTGGGATGACTGCCTATGACACAAACTTCCCTCATTCCACAACCATCAACTCAGTCTGACTTTGTACCTGATGCTGCACTAGGATGTGTGGCTGGCCCTGTGGACAGGACCAGACCCTGTCCGTTGAGCTGGGTGTGGCTCTCCAATGGGGCATTTCTATCTGGTTGGAGCTATCTTTGCCAATTTCCCTTATGAAGTCCTCTTGTTTGCTGAGTAAGGTATGACCTTGAGAAAGTTTATGATTAAAAACATAAACACAAGGAAGGCTGCAGCTTTGTCAAGGAAAAGCAGGTACCTGACAAGAGGATACTCTTATGGTTCCTTATACACATTCACATGGAGCTGAAGCAACTCGTGGAGAACAGCATATTTCTACATAGGAGGACAAGTAATGTTACCTGTCCAGGATCACAGATTTTTCTTTAAAGATTTTATTTATTTATTTATTCATGGCGGGGGGCAGAGACACAGGCAGAGAGAGAAGCAGGCTCTATTCAGGGAGCCCAACGTGGGACTCGATCCCAGGTCTCCAGGATCAAGCCCCGGGCCGAAGGTGGCGCCAAACCACTAAGCCACCAGGGCTGCCTAGGATCACAGATTTTAATAGTGGTAGAGCCAGAAATGAAACCTAGCTTTTTAACTCCTGGTTTCAGAAAGTATCTACCCAAGTTTCAATTTAGAGGCAGAGCTCAAGAAAGGTTCAGCTCCTCCAGGGGTTAAGCACAGAGTTATCATGTCCCTTAGCAATTTTACTCCTAGGTATAAACCCAAGAGAAATGAAAGTAAAAGGTCACACAAAAACCTTGTTCATAGCACTATGCTAATGCTTATTATTCACAATAGCCAGAAGGTGGAAATAACCCAAAAGTCCCATTGACAAATGAAGGGATAAACAAAACGTGGTATAGACATATAAAAGAATGAAAGCCTTTTTTAAAAAGCTTATTCAGCCCTGGGCCACCTGACTGGCACAGTGGTAGAGCATGTGACTCTTGATCTCGGGGTCATGAGTTCCAGCCCCATGTGTGGCATGGAGTTTTACTTAAAAAAAAAAAAAAAAAAAAAAGGCTTATTCAGCCTTAAAAAGAAATGAAATTCAGACACATGCTACAACATGAATGAACCCTGAAAACATATGTTAAGTGAAATCAGCCAGACACAAAAGGATGCGTATCATACAATTCCACTAATAGGACATTCCCAGAGTAATGAGACTTAAGTAGCATGGTGGTTGCCAGGGGCTGGGGATGGGAGAGAATGGGAAGTGAGAATTTCAGTTTGAGAAGATCAAAACGTTCTGGAGATGATGGTGGTAATGGTTGAACAGTGTGAATGTGCTTCATGCCACTGGATTGTAAACTAGAAATGGATGAAATGGTAACTTTGTCATGTATATTTTATCGTAATAAAAAACATTCAGAAACAGAACTGAATGCTAATAAAATAAACCAAGCTGTATTGGAAAAAAAAAAAAAGAGCTTGAAGTATATCTATCAGAAGATAAGATTTTAAAAATGAGCTAATAAGCATTTACTATGGTGTCCTCCCCAAATTCATATGGAAATCCTGTTGCCTGATGTGATGGGAACAGGAGGCGGGGCCTTTGCGAGATGCTTAGGTCATGAGGGTGGAGTCCTCATGATGGGATCAGTGCCCTTATGAAAGAGGCCCCACGGAGATCCCTTACCCCTTCCACCACTTCACACTCACTAAACTGGCAAACAAACAAATGGCTGGAAAAAGCAGTAATGCAGATACAGAAACCTTCATGCACACTGGGGGAGCAGAGCCAGGGGCAGCCCTCCCTTGCAAGAACATTCTTGTCCTAACTTAGTCATAGGCATTCTCTGTCCTCAGGGTGACAGGGACGAGGCTGTTAGTGACAGGTAGTGTAACCTGTGGTGACAGGAAGAAGGCGGCAATCCAGATGTCCAGCACCTGATAGATATATGATGTAGAGCACTAAGTACAACGATGTGGACATGGACAGAAGTGGAGCAGGTGAATGTGACAGTATGTGACAGTGTGGAACTGTATCACTTACATAAATCAACATACATGCATGCAAAACAAGGCTGCCCATTTTAAGGTCACCCCACAATGCAAGGATCTCTAGGAACCCCATCAGAATAGCTTCCCATGGGAGGGAAGGCAAAGTGGATAAAAGGGAACAGCAAGAGAACAATGTTGTGTGGAACAATGGTAGCAATTTGGCAAGAATGAAGAAAATGACTAACTCAGCCATGTGTAAGTGAGTTTCAAAACAGTCCCTTCAAAAGAGAACCTCTGACCCTAGGGGATTTTCCCCCAACGATGTCATCCAACCAGGCCACCATCCAGACACAGGAATCTCTGGGAATGAGGTCAGTACCCGAGTTTCCAGGATGTCAATGGCCTTGGCCTGGCTGCTTCTGGCTGCCAAGAGCTGCTGTCTGGTATCCTCCAAATTCTGCTCAGCAACGGTTTTCTGTAAGTTGAAAGAAGAGTAAAAGAAAACAGTCATTTTTCCATTGAATAAATACTGATGTCTACCACCTACTGTGATTTGAGCAAGACAGGGGGACACAAATGTATTAACAAAAATAACAGCTGAGGTAATAGTCACATATCATAAAGTACACACAGATAAATTTGATACAATTCTTTGACCTTGAGACTGAGGCAAGACTAACAAAAAAATTAATAGAGTGCAATGAACACCCACAAAGATACCCAGATACTCACTGCCTCAGGAAAGTGGATGGCTTCCTAATTAACAGGTGGCCAGGGGTTGGCGGGGAGCACCCAGGCAGTGATCACCAGTGGAGTCATGAAACAGCCTGGGACATTTGGGGAGCTACAACTTGCAAAAAGCTAAGGCAATGGTGGATTCAGGTCAAGAAATGAGACTAGAAAGTCAGGCAAAGGGGCAGATCATGGGAAACTTTTTATGCTGCAGAAAGGAGCTTGAATTTAATTCTGTAGGCAATATTTTTTAAAGTAGGGCTGTCCACATACTGGCATAAGACTAATGTGGTAGTGCAGGAGTAAGTAGTTGTTAAACTTGAGGTCTTACAGACCTACTGAAAAAAGGATTTCTAAGAATAGGAATATACACACTAAACAAACTCTCCAAGTACCTCCTATGCACATTAAGCTTTATAATAATGATGATGGCACAATACTAAGGATTATAACATTAATAGCAGAAAAATACGGAGACCCTACTACATTCTAGAGCTTCATTCTAAGTATTTCACATATTGTAACTCCCTGAATCCTACCAACAATTCTGTGTTTGGTACAATTATCTACTCTATTTCACAGAAGAGAAAACAAACACAAAGGATTAATTTTCTTGCCTTAAGTCACCAACTGGTAAGATGACGTGAGATACACACCTAGGCAGTCTGACTCTAGAAATCAATTTACACCCCAGAACCCAGGATATATGCACTGCAGATTGTAGGAAAGCTGGGCAAGAAGGTAAGGGAGTGAAGCGGCCAGGAATACCAGCTCGGCAGTGGGCGCAAAAGACTGCATCAGGGGTAAAGGAGGGGGCTGATGCCAGGTAGGCAGTTTGGAGACCTCTGCTGTGGACTAGGCTAGAGTTGCTAGAAGCCCTGAAGTACAATAGTGGCAGTGGAGTGGAGATGTTTAGTTGAAACAAAGACAGACAGTGAGGGTCTAATCTAGGCCTAAGGTCTTGGCTTTGTCACCTTTGTCAGGGTGAGGTCAGTCCTGAGATACAAAAAGCAGGAGGAACAGAATATGGGCAGACAATGCAGGCTCAATGAGAAAGGGCAAAGGTCAATCTGCTCAACAGCCTCACTCCAGTGAAACCCCTCACTGCCGAAGGTGATTCTTGCTCATGCCACAGGCAGACAGTAACAATTTTCCTTGGCCACTGGAAAGTGCAAAAGGGTGGAAGAGATCAGGGAGGTAAGATAAGACAGCCCAAGTAGCATAAATCACCAGGCGGGGTTCACTGGTGATTAGGATGCTAATCATTCACAGGCATCTCTGAACGAGGCTCTCCCTTTCCTGGAAAACATGGCAATATACACAGGTGACAGGTGGCTGTTTTTTGCTGTAAGAAGGATAATCAGAAATTGGAGGGGGGGCTCTTCTTTTCCAGCTGCTTGTGGACTCTCTGGCTCTGAAGCTCTATGATTGTATGAAATCTCCAGTGTTACCCCTACCTTCCTAACAGTGGCTGTCCGAAAAGAGCTACTTACCTCTTTTAGGAGTTCTTGCACATGTTCTTCTCCTGATAAGTTCTGCTCTAGTCTCTTCTCCAAGGACAAGACCTTCTCCTGCAACTGTGTGACGAGTTTTTCTTTCTCTTGAGTTTTAGCAGTGGCCTGCAAGTGAAGGCAAAGATTATATTACATTCTAACCCCTTTCTCCTTCCCACTCCCTGTCTCCTCTTGGACCATTACGTTTCCCTGAAATTCTGTTCTCAACTGCCTCTAAGAAGAACAGAGAGCTAAGGAATCTTCCTTGAAAAGGGATACAGAAGAAACACCAGAACCCAGCACCACCCAGACATCAGTTCAAACCTAGTGTGCAAGAGACAATTGCTCATTTAATTTAAGCATTATTGATGTAGGAAAGACAAGGCTATGATATCAGTGGGATGCAGGCAGAAATCTGAGAAGATGCTTCTTCTCTTTAAGACAATCAGATTGTTCGGTCATGACCTACTACTGTCTATGTTCACCAAGCACACATCTCATTCTACTAACCCAGAGTCCAACAGGACCTATGTATGTCTTTAACTCAGATGCCAAACTTGGCAGAGGTATCCCCCTCAAGAAGGTCCCCATAAGTCCTACAAATGCCCAAGAGAACAATATTCTGGGAAATATGGGGCTAGATGAAGCATTAATGACACCAACGTAGCTGCCTTAAGAACGGAATGAGAGAACTTCTAAAATACATGAGGACACTCACTGCAGCTCCCAGCATAGTGACCAGGGCAGAGCCACTGTGCACCTCACACCTTGGCCCCAAACCAACAGCTACCCACTTTATTTCAGTCTATCTCTTTAGCAATGATGGTAGTGGTAGCGGTGGCAGTGGCAGGTTATGACTTGGTTCCTCTCACTGTTTCCAATCTTCAACTGCTACTTAATGTCAAAGCAGAGGATCCAGGAAGCTTTCATTCCATAAGTTTTTAGATCCCTAGTGGTCCTTGCATCCACTGAAGATGCCCAGGCACCTCTCTAAAAGTTTGTATAAGGGCACATGGGTGGCTCAGTTGGTTAAGCATTTGCCTTCGGCTTGGGTCATGATCCCAGGGTCCTGGGATTGAGCCCTGCATCGGGCTCCCTGCTTGGCAGGGAGTCTGCTAATCCCTCTAACTCTACCCCTCCCCATGCTTTTGCTCTTTCTCAAATTAAAAAAAAATCTTAAAAAAAAATGTTCAGGGATGCCTGGGTAGCTCCGCAGTTGAATGTCTGCCTTTGTTTGGCTCAGGGTGTGATCCTGGAGTCCCAGGCTTCCTGCATGGAGCCTGCTCTCCCTCTGCCTATGTCTCTGCCTCTCTCATGAATAAATAAAATCTAAAATAAATAAATAAATTAATTAATTAATAAATTAATAAATTAATTAATTTTAAAAAGTTAAAAATTTAAAAAAGTTCATAAAGCATCAATATCTTACTGTGAAGACTTATACCTTCTTACAGGTACTCTGTTTCCTTGCTTTATGCTTCTGTTGCTCTATCTTGAGCTATGGTTTCATGTCAGCTTGAAACCCAGCCAAACTCTTCTCAGAATAAAATGTAGCAACTTTAGGAAGAAGCAATTTCCATTCTAAATTCTCACTGTGGGGGTACCTGTGTGGCTCAGTTGGTTAAGAGTCTGACTTCAGCTCAGGTCATGATCCCAGCATCCTGGGATGGAGTCCCCCATCTGGCTCCCTGCTTGGTGGGGAGTCTGCTTGTTCCTCTCCCTCTCCTTCTGCTCCTCCTGCTCATACTCTCTCTCTCAAGCAAACAAAATCTTAAACATAGAATACAGGGTTGACAGCATAGGTAGTAGAGGGTTTTCTAGTAATTGAACTGTCTAGACTCAAGGTTCCATAACTCAGTAAACTTTTTTAAAGATTTTGTTTATTTGAGTGAGCGAGCAAGCATGCACGCACAAACAGAGGGAGGAGCAGAGGGAAAGGGAGAAGCAGACTCCCTGCTAAGCAAGGAGTCCCAATGTGGGGCTCAGTCCCAGGACCCTGAGGATCATGACCTCAGCCAAAGGCAGACGCTCAACCAACTGAGCTGCCCAGGCACCCCGCAATTCAGTAAACTCTTATCAAGTTTACACTGTGTGTAGTCTTCTGAGGATACATCCAGATATAGTTCCTGACCCACAGAAGTAGGGCTGGTGGTAAAGACGTGTATACACACAATTAATTATAAAACAATACAATCATGCTGCAGCAGAGGGACATACAAGGTGATATATCAGAGGCAGGAGGGATTAACTGTTTGGGGAAGTCAGATCAAGCCCCCTAACTAGGCAAGTCAAGGGAGAAGGGGGTTGGGGCAGAATGAGAATTCTGGGTAAAGTGCAGCACATGCAAAGAGGTGAAAAGCAAGTTCAGCATGACTAGGAAGCTGGGAGAAGAGGTAAAAAGAACTCCCAAGTCTGTGACTCAGGTGCCTGGCACAATAGTAACATTACATAAAACAGAACAGCAAAGGAGAGAAAGTTTGATAGGAAAGAAAAACAATTTGGCCATGATAACCAATCATGATAGGTCTCTCACTAATAATGCAATAATCATAATTTGTAGCAGAGTGCAGCAGTGGCAGCTATAGTTTGCAGAGCATGAGTAAGCACTTTCCATTATCCCTAGTCCTTACATTCACCCTTTATTGTGTCCATTTATAAGGAAGCCAAAACTTACAAACTAGCCCACAAGCATATGCCAGTGATAAATTAAAGATTTAAACTCAAGTCTTCTGGAACCAAAGCCTGTACTCATTCTATTATACATCAATATGAACTTGAGAGATACAGGTGACTCTATAGTGAAAATAAAAAAACAAACAGGTTTTGGTATTAGGCAAAGTTAGGAACAGAAAAAGAATTGGTCACCAATTTCCAGTTAGTCTTCTTGTGCACCATATCACACATGGGGCCCCCTTCTCCACTCTGGCTGCTTTACTTCAGGCCCCTTCTATGCCACAGCTAACATTATCCTTAATGGTGAAAAACTCAAAGCTTTTCCACTCAAGACAAGGATGTCCGCTCATCAATCCTTTCCAACACTGTATTAGAAGTCCTTGCTAATGTAATAAGACAAGAAAAGGAAATACAAGTACACAGATTGGGAAGGAAAACCTAAAATTGTCTTTGTTAGTGACACCATTATATATATCTAGAAAATCCAAATAAGTTGGGGGAAAACTCCCAGAAATAACAAGTGGTTAAAGAAAGGTTGTAGGGGATGCCTGGGAGGCTCAGGGGTTGAGCACCTCCCATTGGCTCAGGGCGTTGATCCTGGAGTCTCAGACTGAGTCCCACATCAGGCTCCCTGTGGAGAGCCTGATTCTCCCTCTGTCGGTGTCTCCACCTCTTTCTCTGTCTCTCATGAATAAATAAAGTCTTAAAAAAGAATAAAGGAAGGTTGTAGGATACAAGGTTGTTACACAAAAGTCAACTGCTTTCCTACATACTGACAATAAACAAGTAGAATCTGAAATTAAAAAGACAGTATCATTCACATTAACACTTCCCAAAATGAAATACTTAGGTATAATCTAACAAAATATGTATAAGACATTTATGAGGAAAACTATAAAACTGATGAATGAAAAAAAGACAAAAACTAAATAAATGGAGTGACAGTCCATGTTCACAGATAAAAAGACCCAATATTGTTACGATAACAATTTTTCCCAACTTGATCTACAGATTCAATGCACTATCAAAACCCCAGCAAGTTATTTTATGGATGTCAAAAAAATTATTTTAAAGTTTATATGGAAATGCAAAAGACCCACAAAAGCCAATACAATATTGAATGAGAAGAACAAAGTTAGAGGACTGAGGCTACCTCACTTCAGGACTTACTATAAAACTACAATAATCCAGAAAGGATGGTCTTGGTGAAAGAACAGACAAATAGATCAGTGGAACAGAAGAGAGAGCTCAGAAATAGACCCTCATGAATATATTTGACTGATCTTTGATAAAGAAGCCAAGACAATACAATGAAACAAAGACAACCTCTTCAACAAATGGTGCTGGAACAAATGGACATTCACATGAAAAAAAATGAATCTGGACATAGAGACCTTACCTCCTTCATGAAGATTAACTCAAAATGGATCACAGATATAAATGTAAAACTAAAAACTATAAAACTCAGAGAAGATAACATCAGGAGAAAACCTAGATGACCATGGGTATAGCAATCATTTGTTAAACATACCACCAAAGGCTTGATGCATGAAAGAAATAACTGATAAGCTAGACTTCATCGGAATTAGAAACTTCTGCTCTATTAAAGACAGTGTCTAGAGAATAAGAAGTCAAGCCACAGATTAGGAGAAAATATTTGCAAAAGACACATGACAAGGAATTGCTATCCAAAAAAGGTAAAAAAATTCTTAAAATTTAACAATAAGAAAACAAGCAACCCAACAGAATAGGGCAAAGAAAAAAATGTATAAGAATTTGAAACAAACAAAACCATCATTATTCACAGATGACTGCTATTCAAGAAATTCAAAAAATCTGTAATTAGTTACTAAGCTCAATAAAAATTAATAAATTGTGCAAAACAATCAATTTATAAAAATAACAGTATTTTTATAGTATATGCCAGCAACAAGTACAAAAAGTAGTTTTTAAAATGACACAATTTATAATTGGTATAAAAAACCGTGCCTAGGAATAAGTTTAACAGTAAATAACAAACTTTCATGAAAAAAAAATCACAGAACCTTACAGAGTCATTTAATAAAAAAAAAAAGCAACACTGAATATCTGAAACAATAGATCATGTTCTTGGTTAAAGAAAACTCACATCAGGGGGACGTCTGGATGGTTCAGTGGTTGAGTGACTGCCTTTGGCTCAGGACGTGATCCCGGAGTTCCGGGATTGAGTCCCGCATGGGGCCCACTTCTCCCTCTGCCTGTCTCTGCCTCTCTCTCACTGTCTCTCATGAATAAATAAACAAAATCTTAAAAAAAAAAGAAAAAAAGAGAACTCACGTCATAAAGTAATCACTGCTCTCCAAATGGACCTACAGATTCAATGCTATCCAATCAATAACTCAACAAAATTTTTTTGAGTCTGACAAGCTTCTCTGTGGAAGAACAATGGGCCAAGAATATTCAAAATACTCATAAAAAAGAAATAGGTAAGGAGATTTATCAGACACCAGGACTTGTCCTAATAGCCAGTAAGGCGATGTACTGTATCATACAGATACCACAGTGGCATATGCCCCAAAGCCTAATAGTTCTACATACATATGGAAACCTGAACTGTGACAAAGCTGATATTGCAGATTGGTGAGAAAAGGACAGATTTTTTAATAAATGGTACCAAAACAATAAAAAAAAAAAAAGATACAGATCCCTTTCTAAAACCCAAATCACAGTTTAGGCATATTAAAGACTGGACTATAAAAAGCAAAACTGTAAAACTTCCTATATGGTAATGCAGGAAAAGTGCATTATGGCCCTGGGTAAGAAACAATTTCTTTAAAAAAGCAGGTGTGGGAGCACCTGGCTGGCTCAGCTAGTAGAGCATGTGACACTTGATCTGGGAATCACTGAGTTCAAGCTCCATGATGGGTGTAGAGATTACTTAAAAAACAAATAAATAAAATGGAAGTCTCACTGAAGGGGGAACCATTTTTAAAAGTAAATTAAGAAAGCAAAAGTGTGAACTTAAAGGAAAATAATAAATTCAACTATACTAAAATTAAGAGCATATTTTCATCAGAGGAGACCATAAAGGGTGTGAAGACAAGGCAAAAACTGGGAGAAGACATTTGCAACCCATATAACTGACAAGGGAGCATGGCAGCCAGGATACATATAAAGAATCCTATAATCAAGGAGAAAAAGAAAATGCTGCAGAAAAATGGGCTAGAGAATTGAATGAGTACTTCACAGAACAATAATGACCTATAAGCATGAAAGGACAGTAGCACTTTGTAGTAATCTGGGAAAAGCAAATTAGAATCATGCTGAAAGGGGACACCCAGGTGGCTAAGCAGCTGAGAGTCTGCCTTGGGTTCAGGGCATGATCCCAGAGTTCCAGGATCAAGTCCCACATCGGGATCCCTGCGAAGGGCATATGCCACTGTGGTATCTGTATGATACAGTACATTGCCTTACTAGCTTCTCCCTCTGCCTATGTCTCTGCTTTCTCTCTGTCTCTCATGAATAAATAAAATCTTTAAAAAAATGTTAATATTTCATACTCTCTAGACTGGCAAAAAATAAATGCCTGATAATATCCCATGTTGTCAAGGAAGCAGAACAAACATGGCTGGTGGGACTGTGAATTACTACAACTACTAGGGAAAAAAATACTCGGCATTATGCCGAAAAGTTGAAAAAGTACAAATCTTTTTTTTTTTTTTGGGTGAGATTTTATTTTTAGGTAGTCTCTACACCCAATGTGGGGCTCAAACTCACAACCCCGAGATCAAGAGTTGCATGCTCCACCAACTGAGCCAGCCAGGCACACCTAACCTTTCCACATCTTAAATATACCCTAGAGTAACCTGCACAGGTAGAGGAATGTTCACAGTAGCCTTGTTCGTAACAGTAAAAGTCCAGAAACACCTCAATGTTGATGGTCAATACGATGAATAAATTTTGTTACTTCACACTATATAGTTGAGAAAAGAAAAAAAAAATACAGCTGCATGTATACAAATGCATGTTTTTTGGGAATATAATGTTGAGCACAAAAAGTAAGTTTTAGAAGAATACCTATAGCATAATTTATATAATTTTTAACAAGCATGAAAAACAACAGAAGATACATACTATTTAGGGATAAAATAACAGTAAAATTATAAAGTGAAGAAAAAGGAAACAACAGTTTCTAGATTCCTTATAAAGGAAAAAGGAATGGGATGAATAGTGAATGGCACATGGGGAACTTCAAGTATAAATAGATTATTCTTTTCATCCTGGGGCTTAACTACAAGGGGATCACTGCCTTGTTATACTCTCTACCCTACTTATATTTATAAATGTTATATTTATTCAATAACGATAAGGACAACAACAACAACAAAAAACTGACTCCAAACTCATGTTCTTCATGATAAAACTGTGCAGCCTTTGATATTCTTAACCCAATGACCGACCCTATCAGCCGCTCAGTTGCTATCAAGAAACTCAGAAACCATCACCAAAACTTCCTTTTCTCTTGCTTCCCTCCTACATCCATTACATTAGCGAGTGGGTCAGTCTCCTCATTATTTTGTAAATGTCTACTTCCCCATTATCTTTACCACCATTCTTGTCAAAGCCACCATCTGATGCCTAGACAGGTATAAGAACTTCCTAACTGGAACCCCATCCAATGTTTCCCCTTATGCCAGTCCATTCTCTGTGTCTTCTCTTCCAGTTCCTTGAATGTGCTCATCCTTCTACTGCCTCAAGGTTTCTGGGTTTATGGTTCATACTGTTCACTATTCCTTGCTTCAAATTCTCTCCCACTGTCTCTCCCCCTCCACAGCTCAAGTGTTCCTTCTTCAAGGGCTTTGTTCTCTGACTCCAAGGCTAGATCTAACCCGATGCCATTACAGGATCCTACAACATCCTGCAGTTTTCCTTCATGCACCATGGTTTGCAATAGTATATTTACATGATTACTGACTGATATATGATTTTCCCTCTAGATTATAAGTTCCACAAAGGCAAGGGCAGTATCTGTTTTGCTCACCACAGTATTTTTAACACTGGGCAAAGAGTGCGGAGCCTGACACATAGGAAGGCTTTGATCATATTTTTAGAATGAGTGAGGGAACTTATTAGTATAACCACAAGCTAGAAAATTAGTTTTTCCAATGATGACATGGTAAGTTAGATGGTTCTGATATCAAAGGGTCCCTTGAATCCCTAAATTTTGTGTATGTTATCTTCCCCCACCCTATGTATTCTGTGTCCTGCTTTCTCAGCCTGTTACTCTACCCATCTTTGAAATTCCAGTTCCTCCAGGAAGAGTTCCTTGACTCCTATGGTAGAAATACACTCTCTCCCTATGGCATATATTTTCCATTTCAAAATCTATTTCACTTATTTAGGATTTGTTAAGAATGTGTTTTCTTGTGGTTAGGTTTGAGTTCTATAATGAAACTATAAGCCTCTGAGAAAACACTGTGTGTGTCTAGATCTTCAGTTCACTGAGAGTAGAGACCTTGTATCAGAGTCATTCACATATGTGAGATCTATTTACTGGATGACCCTTGTTGGAAGGCAACACAGTCCAATAGGACAAGCATGAGTTTTGGAGTAAGACCTGGGCTAGAATCCAGCTTTGTCACTCACTGCTGAACTCTGAGTGAGGTATATAACCTCCATTTGGGCATCTATATGTGTGCTAATACCTAGAAGGAAGGAGTATATAGATTTCTATTTACACAAATCTTAACTGTACTGTAATGATGTAGTAAGTCTCTGTTGCAGTTGAGATTAGCAGTTCTCAAGCGAAGAGGGTAGAGTTGGTGGTACCACCCACCAGGGGGTGTTTTTTTCACATGATGGGAAGGGCTGGACTGTCAATGCCTGAAGGGTGCTACTGGCACTAAGAACCCAGGGGCCAGGAAAGCTAAATGTCCTGCAATGCAAGGGACAACTAACTGTTCTATTCAAAATGGTGAGAAGAAACATGCCACTGAGAAACATTAGTCAATAATAATGTTTTATTCTTCTTCTTTATAGTCTCAAAACTTAGCACAGGCCTATAATAGGAAGGCAATAAATGTATGTTGGCCAAATGAACTGTAAGGATTATCATTTGGAACACACCAGATTAAGCCATATCAACCATGACTGTTATTCTTATGCTCATGGCCCACCATGAAGTACTTAAGACAAACTGGAGTAGATCAAATGGTATACTTTGAGACTTCCTGCCGGGACAATACTGACCTTTTCTGTTCAGCTGTGTGGCCACTTCCATCAGGATGTAGCGGGGCTACACCAGGAACTAGGGCCACATTGCATGAGAAACAGAAGTTTCAGTAGCCACCCTGAGACAGAAATTTCTGCCAGATTTAGCTTCTACCCCATAAGCTCTAGCCACCTGGATCCACTCCTAGTACTCTACTTACCTTCTGTAAGTCCATGGAAAGCTGCTGAATGAATGCCTGGAGCTCTTGCTCCTTTTGCACCAGGGCCGAGATCTTATTTTCTGCACCTGTTTTTGAAGCTGTCACGTGATCTCTTCATTGAAAGAAAGTAGACAATAAGCAGATTTGGAAATCTTATCTAAGAGACACTCTTCTACAGGAAAAAATACAGATGGTTCTTTATATGTCAGGGCTGCAAATGTTAGCCATGTGAAGACTATCGATGGAGAAGACTCCTTGGCTCTTTCTGAAGTAGAAGCCAAAAAAGAAAAATTCCACCCAGGTTTAAGTAAAAAATCCTAATCTGCCTTGGTTATTTAATAGCTTAGGAACAAAAACATACTGAATTGCTTGGCAGGTTTGGAAGCTGAGCTTAGGCAGGTGAAGGGGAGTGAAGGTGTTGGGTGGTGGGAGCAGAGGGTCCCAAGCCCTGGGCCAGAACTCAGATCAGAAAGTGTTGCAAAGAGGGCAGCCCCAGGGGCGCAGCAGTTTAGCGCCGCCTGTGGCCCAGGGCGTGATCCTGGAGACCTGGGATCGAGCCCCACGTCGGGCTCCCTGCATGGAGCCCGCTTCTCTCTCTGCCTGTGTCTCTGCCTCTCTCTCTCTGTGTCCCTATGAATAAATAAATAAAATCTTTCAAAAAAAAAAAAAAGAAGGGGATCCCTGGGTGGCTCAGCGGTTTGGCGCCTGCCTTTGGCCCAGGGCATGATCCTGGAGTCCTGGGATGAAGTCCCACATCAGGCTCCCAGCATGGAGCCTGCTTCTCCCTCCTCCTGTGTCTCTGCCTCTCTATGTCTTAAATAAATAAATAAATAAATAAATAAATAAATAAATAAATAAATAAATAAATAAATCTTAAAAAAAAAAAAAAGAAAGAAAGAAAAAGAAAGTGTTGCAAAGAGCAGTGGTGAAAGGCAGGCAAGCTATAGCTAGGGCTACACTAACACCGCTTCCCATGGGCCCCACAGACCAAGCAAGAACCTCTGCTCTTCCAGCGCTGAGCAGTGTCTCTGCAATTCTTCTAGCTTCTGGCTCAAGTCTGATAACATCTGACTGGAGGTCATCAACTCCTCCCGGGTGTGACTCAGTTCTCTGGTTCGTGCCTCCAACTCTTGCTCCATTTTCCCCAGAGTTTCTTCTTTTTTTAAAAGCTGATACAAAGATATAAAGTTTCACTGGGCCACTATTAAGAAATACTCCTGAGACCTGTTTTTAAAAATACGGACCAACAAACCAAACTTTCATAACATTTGCGTGAGCTTATAAGCGGCTTTACATGCCCGTAATAAACAAAGAAAAGGAAAAGGAAGCACATTTCAAACAGAACTTTTGCACTTACATAAACTGAAAAACATACACATATGATTAATATCACAGACTACTAGGGTATGTTCATCAGCAATTAGAGTGATGACTAGTAAAATCAAAGTAATTAATCATCTACATAATATGTAGCTATGAAAATAAAATGCGCACCATGTGCTTTACTTTACTTAGTTCTTGCTGCTGGAACCCCTCTAATTCATCCATTTCATCCCTCCTTTGGAAAAGATTCAAACTCTGGTTCTTCACTTCCTGTAACTGAGCTGTCAGAAGCCTTTTCTCCTATTTGGAGGAAGAAGACATCATCTCAGGCAACAAAGACATCTCAAATCTATATTATATAAGAATGCTTTTTTAAAATCTACACAATGTTTATTTTTATTCAGCAGAATTCTTTTTCTTTTAAATATTTTATTTCTAAGTAGTCTCTACCCTCAACATGGGGCTTGAACTCATGACCCCCAAGATCAAGAGCTGCTCACTCCACTGACTGAGCCAGTCAGGGGTCCCCGCAGATTCTTAATAAAGGAAAATCTTTAAAAAACTCTCCTCAGTAGACAATAATAGATAACAGGAAGCTTTATGGTTATGTGAGCAATATGCCATTATCTAAAACTTACCTGAAGTTAAAAAATAAATGTGTTTTAAATGATACAGCTGTGAATAAGGGGAATAAGAGCAACAATTATTTGGTACTTTAAAGTTCTTAAGTTTGGGACGCCTGGGTGGCTCAGCAGTTGGGCATCTGCCTTTGGCCCAGGGCATAATCCTGGAGACCTGGGATCGAGTCCCACATCGGGCTCCCTGCATGGAGCCTGCTTCTCCCTCTGCCTGTGTCTCTGCCTCTCTCTCTCTCTCATGGATAAATAAATAAAATCTTTTAAAAAAATAAAGTTCTTAAGTTTGATTAGAAATTGCAGATATTGGGGGATCCCTGGGTGCCGCAGCGGTTTAACGCCTGCCTTTGGCCCAGGGCACGATCCTGGAGACCCGGGATCGAATCCCACGTCGGGCTCCCGGTGCATGGAGCCTGCTTCTCCCTCTGCCTGTGTCTCTGCCTCTCTCTCTCTCTCTCACTGTGTGCCTATCATAAATAAATAAAAAAATTAAAAAAAAAAAGAAATTGCAGATATTGGGGCACATGGGTGGCTCAGTGGTTGAGCACCTGCCTTTGACTCAGGTCATGATCCCAGGGTCCTGGGATTGAGTCCCATATCAGGCTGCCTACAGGGAGCCTGCTTCTCTCTCTCTGCCTATGTCTCTGCCTCTCTCTCTCTCTGTGTCTCTCATGAATCAATAAATTTTTAAAATCTTAAAAAAAAAAGAAATTGCAGATATTCATTTTACACATCTTTTCTCAGTGACCTACTGAACTGGATGAACAATATGAATAACTGGAGTAAGCCTAAATACCCTGAAAAAACTAGATGTATTTCAGTAGAACTGGTGTCAATTAGCAATTTCAGTTAGAAGTCAACAAAAATTAGACATGACTGATGTGAGCAGGTTACAAATTCCTAAATGACAGCTTCCCAAGATAGACTCTCTTAAGGACAAACTCTGCTGCTGCAGTTTCCAATTTCTGATTGAAAAGAAATCAAAACAGTATAAAAATAACATTTCCAAAAATTACAGTGGCTTCAAAGACCTACATAGATGTCTCACTGTTCTTTCTGAGTCTAAAATATGTCCCTCCTCTGGGCAGGGGTGCGAGAGGGGATGGCCTTAGTGCACTGAAGTAGGCTTTATTTCAGCCCGGTATGTATCCCCCTTACTGTAATTTTAAAAGATAAAAAACAGTTCAATGAGAATTTCAACTGCTACAATCTTAAGTTTAAGAAAAGAAAACTTTAACCCAACCCATATCTCCATATTTAAGAAGACCAGCATTAATACCATGTTCAGATTTTTTAAGCACAAGTTTCTTTGGGAGATAGTTTGACTTTTCTATAATTCTTTCCTTACATAAATATGTTGAAGCATTCTTTAACAGCTTGATAATCAGATTTCTACAGCACGCACAGAGAGAATTGGTTTAACCTGGAGTTTTAGCCCAAGAATGCAGCAACAATAAAGTTCATCTATTTAATAAAATGAACAGTAAATATATTTTGAGACTGCATATATATATATCAATCTAAGAAATAATTTTTCTACCATAAAAAGTAATTTAGGAGTATTTGATGAAAACAGAAAATGAATTAGCAGCATATAATTTGAGCTGCGGTAGTTGACTTATTTTTTTAAAAAGATTTTATTTATTTATTCATGAGAAACACACACACAGAGAGAGGCAGAGACACAGGCAGAGTCAGAAGCAGTCTCCACCTAACTCTGGGAAACGAATTAGGGGTGATGGAAGGGGAGGAGGGCGGGGGGTGGGGGTGAATGGGTGATGGGCACTGAGGGGGGCACTTGATGGGATGAGCACTGGGTGTTATTCTGTATGTTGGTAAATTGAACACCAATAAAAAATAAATTTATTATTAAAAAAAAAAAAAAAGAAGCAGGCTCCATGCAGGGGGCCTGATGTGGGACTCAATCCCAGGTCTTCAGGATCAGGCCCTGGCCTGAAAGCGGCGTTAAACCGTTGAGCCACCAGGGCTGCCCGAGGTAGCTGACTTTTAAATTAAAATGTTTTTCTAACTATAGGCCTGAAATTTCATCTTCCTGTTCATGTCTGGGAGCCAGGAATAAATTACATTAAGCACCTACACAGTGTTACACAAGCTATGGTACTAGAGTAATCAATTTTCCTCATCTGTGTTTAGCCAAGAAACGTTCTTATCTGCTCAATGTTAAGCCTTGAAAAATGCCCTCCTTCCCGACTGCTTCCTTAAAAAGTATTCCTAACATTACCACAGTGCCAATTAGGGTCCCAGCAGGAAACAGATGGCAGTCTCAAATTGGGTATTCTGAGAAGTTTACTAAAGGGACTTTTCAAAGCTGTGGGTGGGTAAGAAAACACAAAGAGATAATGTGCTCATATCAATCGGGTATGAAGAGGTAGAGGGATGTAGCGGTTATAAGAAACCCAGGAATGTCCACTAAAACTGACCTTTGGCCATGGGATACAACTAACTTGAAGGGATCCCACATGGAGAAGGCTGGAGGAATCCTAACCACACTCTCCTTCCACCCATAGTTCCTTAGGAGTTCTCCACTGGCAGAACCCAGTCCGGAACCAGAGGGCAATGGAGTCCTGCTGATACAGTTTCCATCAGCCTCCAGGTACATAGAGAAAGGTAAGAGAGTGGTGAAGAGGATTTTGGGAGGGGCACACAAAAGACATCCAGCATGCCCATCAAGAAAGGGAAACATGGGACCCCTGGGTGGCTCAGTGGTTGAGCGTCTGCCTTTGGTCCAGGGCATGATCCTGGAGTCCTGGGATCGAGTCCCACATCGGGCTCCCTGCAGGGAGCCTGCTTCTCCTCTCTCTGCCTGTGTCTCTGCCATTCTCTCTGTGTCTCTCATGAATAAATAAAATCTTAAAAAAAAAAAAGGGGGGGGGGGAAACTCGTGAGATTTTCAAGTCAGTGTTTAGTCAACTGGCACCCTGAGTTTAAGAGGTGGTAGAGCAATCTGTATACTGGGTACTGCACAAACCACTGTCCAAGCCCTGAGGAGAGGCTGACATTCAAACTGAGATAAATATAAAAGATGAACTAACCTTTTCAAGCTGATCCATTTTTTCTGACCATTCCTAAAACAAAACAACAAAAAAGTATAGTTTCCAGGGAAGAGTATCAGTAATATAAGGTTTTCAGAAAACAAAACAACCTAACTCCCCCTGTAAAGCAAGCAAGCAAGCAACCAACCAAAATAACAAATAAAAACCCCATAAAGTTGGCTTAGTAGAGAGCCAAGAATCCTAAAAGGAGAAGAAAATGAATTTTATAGAAAATTCTAGAACACAGATAAAAGCCTGTGGATTTTTATTAAGTAGAGGACTCAGTAAAGCTATAATGTGGTATTCTGATGCAGCTTTTCACTTTATTCCATAGTATTTTTCCATGAATGCTATTATTATTTCTTGGGAGCGGGTAGCTGGGACCAGCTGAGTTGGTAAATCTATAATTGATATTTAAAAATTAATTCACTGAAGGTGAGGGAGACAGTCTTCACCAGCCCCTGATAATTATTTTCCTGCTTGTCTTGATTTTACCAATATGCTTTACACTGTCTGGTATAAGTTAAAGGAAAAAGGATTCATTCACCAATCACAGAACGGGAGGAAAAATAACCATTGGTACAAAAAGCCATATTCCAAGTGCCTACAATCAGAATCCACCAATTTTAGATGATATATTCATTTGTATACATTTATATCATAGTTATCCACTAAGTATTGGTGAATAATGTCTTTTTCTGGCTAGCAAATGTCTTAGGTAACTAATACTCTAAAAACCACCCATCCACATACTGTAGATGAATTATGTATTTTCTTTTTTTTTTTGAATTATGTATTTTCTTAAGTGAAACATACTATATTGATCCTGTCTTAATAAATCAAGATTATCATTATAATATCTTGATGTTTATCTTAAATTTAAAATGCCACAGAATGAAACATACTTCATAATTATTATAATGGTAATAGTACTCTTTTCCTTTCTTATTGTTATTCATTCAGCATCTGTCAATGGATGGTTCTAATGGGATTACAGGAGTTAATTTCTGTCTAACTCACTGGGGTTGAAGACACTGGGGAACAGAGATTGTAAGAACTCTGTACATCATAGAAGCTGTCTAGCTTGATAGCATTCTCCACTCTAAAAGGCAAGTGTTTGGGGTCTAGGCCTTGAGACAAGTTTTTAGAGTACAGAGATTGTTTTCCTTCTCTTGGGATATGCTACCAGATTAGGACACATGATTTCCCTTCTCCCTTTTACAAAGTTATACGGTGTAACAGGATGATACTCTCACATTCTTCATGATTACAACTGTAAATTATATACAGCATTCCTTTTCTCCTAAGCTGTAAATGTTTCCTACAAGGTTTATATCATGATTTTTGAAATCATGTCACTAAGCGAAATCTTTCCACCAGTCTTGGGCGTCACATATAAAATACCTGGTCCTTTCTGGCTAATGCCAAAGCCAGTCCTTCTGCCATTTTGGCTCTGTTGGCTTGGAATGTCTCATTCTGCTCTTGAAATTTCCGCATGGAAGCTGTTAACAAAGAGGCTCTATTTGAGATATGGAAATATTTCAGAAACGGCATGACAAATAGCCCATGTGATTACAATTGTCACCTAGCAAAAAAGATCAAGGTCGCATAAGTGGATAATGAGACTGGGAGAAACCTGATCCATCTCAACTTTCCCAGAATCTTTTGGGCTTAGTAATAGACCACAGTTGTTTTTACGCTTTCTCGTTTTGTTTTTGTAATAAGCAAGTATATACATTTAGGAAGATGCCAAAACGTAACTTTTTCAATGGTATAATAAGTTAGGGAGATTGCTAGAAGATGCTAATGCTGTTGCTAAGTGATGGTTACTACCACTTTATCGGAATTAAAAATAAAACTCAAAACTAGGCAAAACAAAAAAAATCTTTCACTTTGTTTCCCTTAAAATTTTTTTTTTAGTATATATTATATCAACAGAAAATAACTTTCTACTTCTGTTAGCATTTTTCTTGGACTGAATCCAAAGGAGAATATATGAGTTAGGATAGACTAAGTAAAATATATGTTCTATTGCTGGAGGAGTGATGACAGCTAAAGATTTCCTCCCATTACTGAATGCAGAAGCATGAAGCTATGGATAGAACCAGTCTCCTAATCTAGGTCTAAGGGCCAGGCACATGATTTTACTAAAATCTAAGGGCAGCCAATGAACTGGTCAACTGGATGAAGACAAGCTGATACACATAACGACCTTCTCCAAAGAAGCATGCCCATAACACAACATAAATAGGAACTATATGCTTATAAATATCAGACAAACATTATATATCACCCTGATAGTACACTTACAAAGATTTGAGCTATGATGAAGGACAAACTTAACCATACACTATTGTTTCATTAAAAAAAGTAAACCCTGAAAAGATTGAGAAAAAGCAGGAAAAAAATACGTACAATCCTGGTGTTTTTCTAACGCAATTTCAAGCTTCTCTTTTATCTTCTGCAAGTTTCGGACCTGTTCAGCATAGTCTTGGGTGAGGAGGGTGATGCACATACCAGGAATGGACAAACATCAGGAAAGGAAGTTAATTAAACAAAAAAAAAATGAGTGAAAATGATGATGATTTTCTCAACCCGAAAACCATTGCTGTTAAGGAAAGCTAGGCAGACAGCCTCCCATTAACAATGAACAACAAAGGCAAACAGGTATAGTACAAACCATCCACAGTGTAAATGGTGAATACAAACAGGCAGATTTTTTTAGCCTGGATAGACAGCAAGAATTGGGCCTGGTCTGGTCATCAAAATTGCCCTGCTCATTACTTAATTTCAAATCTCAGTTTTCACTTCCCCTGCCAGTATTAGCAATAGGATAGATAGAGCAAAGGGAACTCACTCGACAGCTCACAATCCACACAACTGAGTTAACAGTGGTTGAGGCAATAGCAAATACCTTACCAAAGGATAGTCTTTACTGTGAAAGTACTTAATTCTCTAGAAAAGGCAGCTTCTTTTCTAAATGGAAACTGGGCTTCCCATGCCATATTAAAGGTGAAAGTCAGAACTAATTACCTGAGTGGCCAAAGAAGATAGTATGGTATAGTGGAAAAGTAGGCAGGCTTGGGCCAAATTGAAGCTCTGTCAGTCCATAGCTGAGAGACCAAGCAAATTATTGATCCTTTTGTTTCTTTACTTAGCAAATGATGGTATTAACTGTACCTGCCTCAAAATGCAATTGGTAAACTAAGTGTTTCATATGTCCTAATTAGACAATAACCTAGGTGTTCTCCATATTAGAAGCACCTGACACATAATGTTCAATAAGAGGTATTGGGACATAAGGGACATAACTGGGTTTAGTAAGTGTCCGTTCTTGGCCCTGTCCCTTCTCCAAAGTCAAACCCAAACTATTCTTCCATCTGTATTAGGGAAGGCACGTAGTATTTCACAGCTTTCTCCCCAACATTAGACAAATGTAAAGTTATTTCACTGCTGTTCCTGATACTATTTACAAGTAAGTATAACAGGATTATAACAACTGAATTTAAAGAAGACTGCAGAAAAAAAGAGTATGGACTTTCACAAGCAAGTCTAGGTTTGGATCAGCTCCACCACCTACTACTACATGTGTGACCTTAACCTTGCTAACCCTAATAAGGCTATAGTGAGGACAAAAGAAGATAATGGACTAACTGGGAGCTGGGAGCTATACTATGCACCTTTGATAACCTCCCAAACACAAATATTTCACATATAATTTGATAGATTTTGTAATCTATTGCTTTCACTCCAATAAAATGTGCATAAGGCCAAAGGACAAAAAGAAACACAGAAGCCATTGACCACTTCACAGGATGAAACTTTCAGAATGTATCCACTGGCAGAAACCAAAATAAGAACTTACAACTCTATCACAAACATGCCCTGCTCAGGGAAAGGATACAATGGAAGTTGTGTAAATTGTAAACTGCACACAAAAGACAGAATGAGAGTTACAGCTTCTATACAGGTGCTGAATATCATTGGAAAGTGGTCTAAAGACCCAGAAGGACACTTACACAGTTGATATGTAGTTGTAGCAAGTGGCAACCCTCTATGGTGTTGAAGAATCTGTTGGCCATTCCGGGTAAATACTACCTTCTACCCTTCTCCACCTGAAAGCTATGCTAACAGGTGAAAGACTGTCAAATCTAGTCTATATATATATATATATATATTTTTTTTTTTTTTTAATACCTTTTATATCCATGGCTAGAAACCTCAGGAGCAGAAACACCTAAGTTGGTTTTTTAACTTTAAAACTCAGTTTTGAATTTAAACTATTCAGTACACTAACAAAAGGAGGGAATAGAGTGTACAAATTGCTCCCTTTTGACTAAGAAATATGTCAAAATATGTCAATACAACTATAAAGTTATACTATGGCTATTACATATTATCTAATATGGCTATTAGATATAGAGAGAGGGTCAGCCAAGGCAAGTTTTCTTTGCTTGCTTTTTATGAGTTCTTAGACATACCAGAAAGTCTGGCTTCTAATTTCCGTATCTGTTCATTTCTTCTCAAAAGCTGGGATGAAAGATCTTCTCTGGAGCTGCTTCCATCGGAAGCCTGTTGAAATAGACAAGAGGTCATATTCACACATAGGTTTTCAGCAAATGTGAGATCCCAGTACTGAACCAGAAATCAACAACTCTTGTTTTAGGTTTCGTTATACCTTAATCATGATCACTGAAGAGCTTCTTAACATACCTGGGTCCTAGCTTCTCTACCTGTAAAGCAGGAGCAACACTATCTCCTTCCTCAATGTGATGGAGCTAGGAGATGCTAAACAGATAAACTGTGTATGTGTGTACATGGTATTGGAATAAATGGTGGCATGCATGGTCACAATGCATTGCTGGGGGAATTAAGTGTGTCATATGTTACCCCAGGGGGGAGAGGACTCTTAGAAGTTTGCACCTGGTTTTCTCCAGTTTGCCTCATGCACCTTTTCCCTTTGCTGATTATACTTTGCCACTGATTATACTAACAGTTAGTAAACCATCCTGAGTCTTGTGAATTCACTTAGTAAATAACTGAACCTTAGGGTGAACCTTGGGGACACACATACTTTAATATAGTTCCTAACCCCATTTTACAGATGTGGCATGGAAAATGAATTTTCCCCAAGTCACATAACAACAGTGAAGCTGGGAATCAAATCCATGTCTGATCCTTAGCCTGACTGAGTTCCTAACTACTACTCTCTACTGCATTTCATTTGTTCATTTTAGAATTTGAGACACTAAAGGAAAAACATCTGGTTAGAGAAATATATGCAATGGGATATACAGGTGTGGAGCTAGGGAGTGAAGATTAGAATGTATAAACAGTAAGTCCAAGTATTTTACTTTAGAAGTCTCAAAAGAAAATAGTTCCTGAATTCACACCACTATCTATATCTGGAATACATTCAAGATGAGAGACTTCATTTAGCATGTCATCATGAAGGCAAAGCGGGTACTTCTGCCACAGAACTCAGCACTGAAACTATATCCTTCAGCCTGGGGATCAAATGTACATTATATTTCCTGTGAAATATAGCAGCCAATGATTTAGATCTGGTCATCTTATTGTTCCATCCCAATAACCTAATAGCTTCTGCCATGTAATCTGACCCAGGACAGGTAGTATAAGAAAGGAGGAAGACACTCATCTGACCATGGAGACAGCTCAAGTGTCTAACATCAGGAAAAGACAGAGATAAATTGTGGCCTTGTTAAATGCTGGAATCTTAGCAGTAAAAACAAATGAATCGCAGCTTCATGGAACACAGATGCATTCCGGAAAAATGGTGAATTAAGAGAAAAAAAAAGTTTAAGAAAACTATGGAATACCATTTTTATGAAGTGCACAAATAAGTAACATTAAACAATAAATTGCTTACAAATATATACATATCTGGGAAAATATTTTAAAAATCAAGAGAATGATCAATACAAAATTTATCTGGAGGGCAGGTAGGAAGAAAGTGACCTGGGCAGGAGCATACAAGTGGTTTCAACAGTATCCATAATGTTCTAGTTCTTTGGAAGGTGACATATTAACAAGTGTTCATTTTATTTTTATGCTTTATACTTTACATTTATATTACATACATTCCTTTACATATATCAAGAATTATAAATCATTTTTTTTATAAATCATTTTTTAAAAAAGACATCGGACTTTGAGAGGATCCTGTCCTATGCCAAAGACATACTTTTAATCCTAAGGCATCACATCTAACCTGACACAACAGCATCTCCACTTTTCTGAAATCTTTCCAAACACAAAGGTCCTTTACAAGTAAGGGACATATTGCAGTCATCGGTGTCATCTTTTCATCAACTTTCCCAGTAAAATAGTGCACTCTGGCTAACTTCGTACCATAACTCCCAGACCATGTTGGGCCACAATAACTTAAAGTATATCTGTCTGCAGAAATAACAGGCCAAGGCTTTTTGAGAAATGAAATATAAAAGATGATGCACAAGGTGTAAAAAGGATACAAGAGGATAATGTAAAGACTATGAAAAAGGACTCCAAAAAAAAATAGGAAAAAAAAAAAAGCACCTTAAATTAAGAAAAATAAAATATAAGCCCCAGATAATCTTTCAATTTTAAAAGAAAAGTATTGAAAAGATTCTCCAAAGTATTATTTAAAAAATATATCAAGACTGTACCAAATATTAAAAACTAGAGAATATACTTACAAAGTCATCTCCTGAGTCAGCTCCCATAGAGGCAACCGACTCCTTGCTCACTGACCGTGGGATCCTAGTAGCACCTCCTGGCCTCTGGGACACAGCAGTCTCTTCGGCAATTTTCTTCTTTAGTTTTGCAAACATTTTTTGCTGTGTGGCTATCCTGCACAGATGACCAGCTTGTGAACCAACCTAGTAGTCTAGTCCTTAGGCCAGCAACCAAGACTTCAGAGACTGGTGCCTAAAAGGTTCCAGACATCCAAGATAGCTGCATTCCCACTTAAATGTGGGCCAAGGGTTTATGGAACACAGTATCTATAAATCAGATGAGAGAGAGCTAAGTTAAACACAGCAGAGGTTTCACCACTGAGTTGCTGTGTTAAGCTTCAGGTTTCAAAATTAAGTTTCTTAATTTTACATGTACATTTAATAGAACACAATTGCTAAACATTTAAAAAACACTCAGATGCTTCACATGCATAAACAGATAAGAAAATCCAGTCTCGAGGAGATGAGGTAATCTGCCAGAGTGTGTGCTTAAGTGGCAGGGCTGGTATTTGAGCCCAGGACTCTGACTCACAAGTCCTGATTTTTTATCATGCCACATTGGCTATGGCATATAACACATTTAGGAAAATTTCCTAGGGTACACATTAACATCACATGATGGTCTGGGACCTTGCCCCCAATATTAACTACAGTTTACTTTTTTTTTTTTTTGTAAGATGAAGACAAAAATATGTAACTCAATAGTGGGATAACGGTGCAATAATCTAGGATGGTTTGCCAACAGCTGTCAACTAGAAAAAGCTGACAACCTAGAAAAAACAGGCAAGCCAGACAACTACCCTATTTAAGCATCAGATACCCTTAAACATGTCCTGGAAATGCTGCATAGTTTTCTTTTAAGGGTGATTAAAATGACCTGAACTCAGTTTTATCTTCAGAATGTTTTATGTGATATTCAACATGAGATTCAAACATCTTTTTCTCCCAGTGTTGTATGAAACACTAGTATTCTGGTTCCAACCTTAAGTTTCCATGTGCTGTGGAGGACACCTAAGTTCTGCTCTGAGATCTACAAAATGACTTCTTACCACTTCATATTGTCCATTTAAGTCTGTACAATTCTTCAATGTCTGTAAACCACCTACTCACCTGGCTTATCTACCAGATTTAAAACAGCTTGGAGATCAAAGCATTCTGTCCTGCATGAAAACAAAGATACAATGCATTGGGTATTTCCTTTCAAGCGTAAGGCCAAAATGTTGGGGGTAAATGCAAGAGGAGAGAGGGAGATTTAACCAGAAGACAGGGGAGAATCTATCACTGCCACAAACCTCAGTGGGCTACCTTCTCCTTTGCACTTGTGATCTGCTAAAGAGCTTCACTAGCAGGTACAAAGAATAGCATCTCTCATCGGTGCCTAAATTTACTTCACTTTGGAAGCCCCAAGCAAAAACAACTTGAATGAAATTACGGCTTCCCCCAGGGCCAGTATTTCTCAGTTGATTCTGACAGTCACACATTGTTTGTTTACCTGGCCAGACCCGGGCTGTCTAGTCAGAGCCTTGACTCGCACTAAGAACGTCGCTGAGAAAAAGAACGGCTAAATTGGGTAAAAGAAACTGGCTAACGCCCAGGGTTAGGCAGGTACCTGCCACGGCAGTCTGGACCCCACTCACTCAGGCTCACTCTTGAACCGCCCGCGTCTGGACTGTCAAAGAAGAGGGGGACTCGACGTCTCTCCCATTTGACAGCAAGGAAACTGAGACCCAGGAAAGAGGTGTGACTTGTCCAAGGTCGCGGGGGGGGGGGAGGGGGAATCCTGAAACCCTAGGCTCCAGACTCCCAGGCCGGACAGCCCCTCTGCTCCCACCCCCGCCCTTTCAGCACCCTGGTACCGCCCCCCGCCTCGGGTCTCGGGCAACCCCGTCCGGGCCGCTCTGGAGGCAGACCTAGGCCACCGAGAGAAAAAGGGGCCTGCTGGCATCTCCGGCCCCCGCCCGCGCACCTGCCGCTCTCTCGGCAGCCGGCAGAGCCCCGCCTCCGGGACCTCTCGCGAACGCCGGCCCGCGTCACCAGCCCCCACAGCCGGCCGGCGAGCAGAGCAGCGACCCGGAACCGCACCTCCACCAACGCGCCGGAAGTGGCTGAGCGCGGGGAGGATCTGCCGCGCGCATGCGCCCGTGCGCGGTCGCCGCGGTCGCCTGCGAGCTGGTCCGGGCGGCGGTTGGTTTGGAGTCGCCGGAGGGCGCGGGCGCGAGGCTGACCGCCACCTACGGCTGGTCCGCCACGTCAGCCAGCGGCCCGACCCGTGGACGATGACTGGGTGGCCAAAGCCTTTATTCTGATTTTTTTTAAAGGGGGTGGTGCGGAGCGGGGGAGTGGGAGGAGCCTCGTGGCAGAAGGGAGAAGCATCCTATTGGTGGCGGTGGGACTAGCGTGCGTCGTGCGGTTTAGAGCCCTAAGGCCGGGGCAGAGCCGAGCGGAGGGAGTTTCCGTTCCGCTTCCCGCTTCCCAACCCCAGTGTACCCTGCACAGCAGTCTTGCCCACCGCGTAGTAGTAGGTGATCACCGCAAGTCCCTGCCTCCCTCCTCACAGAAGCCTGTGGCTTCAGAAACTAGAACTAGGTCTTCGCGCTTTGTGACTAGTTTTAACTTTTATGCTTATGACCCGTTGCAGGTTATGTTTTATATCGCAACCCGGGACACACGTAATATACCACTGAAAGAAGTTTCCAGAATCATACCCTTACACAACGCACTCCGACATATTGCATTTCATTAATAAGCCAATGGCATTCCACTACATTCATAATCTACTAATGGGCCTCCAACTTGTGATAGGTGAACAAACTCCAAGGAGGTAAAACTGCCTTGTTCAAAGTTACACTGCAAATTAGCCTACATCGGGTCTATGGACCCTTCAGTGCCAACCAAGTCAGACATTCCGCACTGAAGTCACTCTTGTTCTTGCCCAGCACCTAAAAACAGCCAGAGGGTCAGCAGCTTCCACCCATCCTCCCAATCTTCCCTCTGAGTATGACAGTTTTTGACCACGGCGAGATGGACAGGGAAAACACCAAGATTAGAACTTAGAAGAAATTTACCAACTAGAAGAATAAGCATGGAAGCTAGGACCCCAAGAGTCGGAAGTGTCTGAGGTATTATCTGGAAGAAGCAAACCCTAACAGTTTAGCACTTACGTTGTCAGCAATTCTGAAGAAGTACCAAAAACGTTAAGCAAATAATGTTTATTTTTATATTGATGATACACTTAATATACACGTGGATTCAAGATACAAAATTCATTTACAAGAGTTCACACCTGATGAATGTAGTCACATTCCTAGAGAACATTTATCAATGCAAAAATGTTTTCAATACAGACAACAAAAATCAAATTTTCTGTAATCTTGTTATTCAATAAACATCAAAACGTTCAACTTTCCATCCTCTACCATTAGTGCCCTAAAGGTGGTAGGCACTGTAATAGACAAAAACGTTGCAAAGAAGGGCCTACTGAATCCACTCTGCAAAATCACAGTGTTTACTATGAAATTCATTTAGTGAAGTAGTTCAGTGAAAGGCTTGCTATCCTTTATGACAAATCACACATCATACAAGAGTTGAAAGTGATGAACTCAAGAAAATAAAATGTTTCAGTAACTTCTCAGTTTCTAAAATCTATGAAATATTAACCATAACAGACAAAGCAGAAAAAGGCTGCTGAAAAGGAACACGACAGGAAAACATCCTTAGGAGTATGTATGGCTTAAGCAATTCAGAAACACAACAAATAGACTTTCACAATACCACAAATGTTCAAGTCAAATGACATTGACAATATAATTTTCCCCTTTAGTCATTGGTAGTAAATAGCCCCTTCAAAATTTATTCTACTGATGACACATATAAAACATAAAATGAATCCAAATGGTTTGCTGTCTCACAGAGCTGAGTTGACAGATTTTGATCTAAAATATTAACCCACAATACCCAAAATTTAGTACAAATGAGCAACAAGACTACGTCTCAAGGATTACAGTGATTTGTGAATAGCTAGATAGGCAACCATATAGCTTCATTATTTGCACAAAGATTAGCAGCACTTGGATAAGAACTGTTACATGAAAATTATTGTGCTTCAATCTCTTGAGGAGAGCTAATTAATATAACTCTATATTCTCTATAGTGTTACAATTCTATAACATTTCAGTTACAGATGAGCACAATTTTTAAAAAGTATTTCACACCACTACAAAATCAAGTAATTGTATTCTCCAAATGGTTCTGCTATGATTGAAACAAGTGCATTTATGCCTAATATCCATAATATAGACAAGAGGTTCACCATTATTTCCAGGGAAAAAGATCAAACATAACTTATTTTAACTCCTATGTGATTAGCTTAACCTTTAGTGATGATTTGAATAAAGAAAAAGGATATTCAACCTTACAATGGAAACTGCCCAGGGAAAAGAATAAATGTGGCCTGAAATGACAATAATTTTTAGAGCAAAGTAAGAAATGATTTATAACTGCTTCATATGATTCAACAATTAATGGAATTACTATTCATATTGGTGCTACACAATGAAGATAACCTATTTGGATAATTTCCTTCACTTGTAAGTTATACTGTGAAAATGTTAGGACACTGTATCTGGCTTTCCTAATATTTAAGTCCTGTCTACCTCAACTGGAAGAAGTCTCCAAAATATAAGACTCTGATTGTTGAACAGCAAGGTTTATTAAAAACAAACAAATCATTGGAGAACTAGCCATATGGTCTATGTGGCAAAAGGAATGTAATCCAATAACTATAAAAAGCTATGAACATGAAGTCCTAAAATATTTTACTGAACCATCGAGAGTTATTTTTTATAAGATAACCAAGAGCTTTAAAAAAAAAACCCTCATTCTTCAGGAAATAATAAAAATTCTTATTGTCCTAAAACACTCTAAGCAATTTTTTTTCCTGCAGATTTTAAATGCATCACAACATATAAATTAGGAAAAATCATAACCTGCAAAGGAGGGTAGGAATAAAATTTTTAATAATGCAGCGGTTATTTTTCTATGGTTTGGAAGTATTTATTTTGGGATTATCATTTCACATTTTACAATGGTTGATCATAGTGATTTGATGTTTGAGAAAACTTATGGGTCAAATTTTAATGTTAACAAATCTTAATTTTCATCATAGACAAGTGGATATTCACAATAGCTTCAAAAGAGAAAATAATATTAGTGATATAAAAGTTTAAATACCATTTACTGCAAACCTATATGAAGGCTAGCTGTAATTCCCTATCTCATTCTGAACATGATAGGATCACTCAATTAACTTTCATTCCATAAGCCTATTAGAAGAGTAAAACTCTGAACCCTGAAATTACCAATGTCTCAATAAACAATACTACACCTAAAAAGATGATTGTCTTAGGATATAGACTGGAAATGTTCACCAAAATAGGAAAATATTCCTAATATGTACTATGTTTTATGACCAAACTTAGGCTTAAGTGAATCTGGAGTACAGAATTAATAAAATATACTTTAAATTATTAAAAAATTGAATCTACTGTTCAAATAATGTTTAAAAAAAAAACCACACTGCTTAGATTTGATAATAACTTTTAAAGAAGACGCAAAAGAAATTAACAAACATTTTAAAATTAAAAAATGGTGCTTCAGGGATTAACAGTGTTACACAGAAATGGAATTGTCAAAAGTTACACCAATCTAGTAAGTGAAAAATACCAATTTTAGCTTAAGAAAACATCTCATATTTACAGACTTCCAAAGGAAATATTTCTATGGCACCAACAAATCAGTTACACTTAATTTAATATGCTTATCTTTACCCAATTTAAGGGTATGTCCCTCTACATTATCCTGACACCCTTCCCTTCAATAAGCGATTGATTCCATTCACACATCAATTATTTTTCCTTAAACACAAGGCATGCTTAGTAAGTCTCTGTCCAAAAATTCAGTGAAGCTGGAACACCGTGTAGTACCGTGTCCTGAAATTTTATTTTGAGGAAGATGAGTTGCCTTTTTTTCTTTTTTCTTTTTTTTAAGGTAAAGTGGTCACAGTGTCCAGAAAAGACTAGGAGGTGCTGCATGAATAGGAATAAAGTATCAATGTCTAAGAGTACAGAATGGGGGGAATAGACTTGGTTTTCTAAGCAATTCTTACCTTACTTAACTACAAAGTAATTGTATTTACATCTGTTTGAAACAGAGGTCATATTCACAATGTCAATCTCTCTACTGCACTTCTTATTGCTGCTCCTTTCTCAAATTAATGTCCACACTGAGCCTGAGTCAGATCTATGAATTTTAAACAGCATAACATCTGCTCTGCTACTCTCCAATTGCAGTAAGTGATTTAGTTACAATAACAAAAGAATGTCACATTTTCACTGATTTTTCAGAAATAGTACATTACCAAATTTTAATATTAAAATATTAACTTTATTTTAAATTTAATAGTAATTGAGAGGTGTTATGAATAGATGGCTCCTTATTAAAAATAAAATGAAGCGGCAAACGTGACATTTGTTGGGTGGTAAAAGCGACTTCTGACTCAAACACCTCTATTTACGATAATTTAATATTGTATCACTCAGATGTAATCATCTGAAAAATAATGGGGTAAACAGTTGTTTTGCAATTATATTTCATCATGCAAAGATGACCTCTACGTAATTTTTGCGGTGAATGTATTCAAGTGTATACTAAAGATCTCCTACACTCGTCCATGCAAATACACATGCCAGGTGAAGATAGGAGAGACTGAACATTGATACTCTGTGATATTCCATGTTCACACATTGGCACTGCACATATTTACTATCCTCTAAGAGGATATCCTCCCCCACCCATCATCTATGGTAGAAGTTTGCAGGCCCAGATTTTATAGCATGCCATGCACCTAAATATTAAGAATTGCTATTTCATGTGTGAATATATCAATTTGCAGAACACAAGTGGTCTCATAGAGACAAAGAAATACAACTGGAGGCATTTTATTCACTGGAACCATTTTCTCAGATGAGCCTACTCATCTTTGATATGCAACTCCAATAAAAAAAACCTATAGTCTGAAACGCTGAGACGACTAAATTAATCACAGCTGCTGCTGCAAATATACGATTAATAATCTCCTGTTCCTTATTAAATCCCACCCCACCTAGGTACAGCCTTCCCCTAGCTAATGCCCCGTTTTCTGCCTCACAGAGACAGATATAAAATGAGACACATCGGTGAAAATACTTTTCCCAAATTAAAATTTAGTATCAGGTATTGACATTGCAACTACAAACAAATTTCTCTATTTAAAGGACATTTTCCTATCTATTTTGAAATGTGATCAAAGTAATTTTTTCCACAGCCCCTTAATTCTCAATATAAATACTACTCAGTAATAATCCCCAACTATGGGTCAAGAAAATAAAGGATTAATATAGCTTAAGGACCTGCTGGTGTCTCAGTTTCACACAATAAGGTCTTTCAGGTTTATATCACTAATTTATCATCCATTTAAATGGAAATTGGCAGGCGATTTTAAAGCTAAAAACATCTTGCTTTCTGTTAAGATTTTCATCCTAATTCCAACTCCAAAATAGCCAATTTTACCCAAACACAAGCCCCTCAAAATAGAGGCTCACGAATGAGATACAGCCACAACCTAATTACAGCAGCATGAACAATGCCACTATGATGTCCTTACAGAACTTAAATAAATTCAGCCCACAATGGGTATGGGTATATAATATACACATACTGCATCATTGCATAATAATATATTTACAAATATGTACATATATACAAAAAAGTATACACAGAGATTGCATTTAGCATCACAAAAATATACACATGCAATTACAAAAAAAATAAGATTTTCAAATAAATAAGGTCAACAAAAGAGCCCTCCGTGTAAATACCCTTTATACTCTTCAAAGACACACAGAACATATACATCCAAAATATCACCAGGAGATTCATACCATTCATATTCATATCAAACCTTTTTACTCACTTAGGGTAGGGAGGTCGTTCTGAATCACTGGCAGTAGCCAAGTTTGCTGACCTTGGCACCTTACTATATATTTTCAGTCCAGAATGTTCTCTATGTATCAGGCTGATTACAAGTGGATAACTAAGTACAAGATTTTCAACGGAGTTCAAACCCCTTTTAAGAGACAGGAAGTTTTGAAGTCTCACAGGTCAGAGATTAAATTTGTAGAAGAATGCTAAAGAAAGCTCCACAAATTGACAGATTAAATCAGACTGGATGCTTTTCCCTTTTCCTCAATGAAATTCAGCACAATTATCACTTAATATGCTTCAGGGAATTCTACTACAAGAAGAAAATGAAGGGCAGTAACCACAAGTAAGGAAATAAAATAAAATCCAGATCCTGTATTAGGAAAATTTCAGCCATGACTAGTCTGCATTTTGCTTTTATAATTTCAAAACATTTCAACTTGGTAAAAATATAAAGGGTACAGTAAATTCTATGTGCTTTGAGAGGTTTTGAGAGCACCACTTCCTAGGAGAATAACACACACACACAGATACAAAAAATATATCTTGGCTAGAATCAACACTAAATTGTCTGGGGATTTTTCATAATTAATAAATAAAAATTTGCTAGGGCTGACTGATTTTCTGGTTTCGCTATTTGATATATTTAAAAAATACCTTATCCTTTTGTGCCAAAATAGAAATATCTAATTATTTCTTTCTTGTTCATTAGAGAAAGCAACCTGAGCTACCAGAAAGACTGGGCTGTGGTTAGGAGATTTGAGTTTTAGTTCTAGCTCTGCCACTATGAGTAAACCTAGTGTTTTCGGGTCTCAGCCTTCTGAGAAATAGGAGAAATAGCTGCTTTACCCACTTCAGAAATATATGGATAAAGAGAAAATAATTCCATTGTGCTTAACATTGTCTTGTATGTAAGGGACTTCTTCAATCCTCTACTTTGTTTTGTTTGCAGTGATTCTTAAGGGAGGTGAGAGACTGTATCAGAATCTCCAGGGGGAGTTTGTGCAATTTGAAAACAAAGAAGTGCTTTTTTCCATTGCTCTGTTTTGCTCTTAGTTCCAATGTGTAAATTTCTATGAATTCTAAAATTAAATAAGGGGCTTAATATTTTTATATTTATAAAGGGGTGTGAGTATACATTGAAAGAAATTCTTTGCCAACACCCATGAGTGATTGTCCTTTACATTTCTTGTCCTTGCTTAAAGTAATGTCTTAAAATGTAGAAGCTTGGTGAGGGGTACAGGACAGTTCATTAAATGCTACATATTCAAGCATATATAAAGTAGAAAGAAAAAGAGAGAAAGAAAAAGAGAGGAAGAAAGAAGAAGTATTTGCACAAATGTAATCTCAATAAGGCTGACCCTGATCACTCAGACACTCTTCTTAACCCAAAAACAATCAAAACATTTCCCTTACCGTGTTCTAAACTTTCTTCATACAACTAACAACTCTCTAACATAAGTTATTTTTATTGCCTGACTACTTCTACTTCTACTAAAATATAAGCTTCTACTAAAATATAAGCTTCATGAAGACAAGAATTTTTAAGTCTATTTCATTTGCTTCCCAATGCCTAGAACAAAATCTGGAGTATAGCTGTTGTTCAGTACACATTCTTTTGAAGGCATGAATGAAACAAAGGTTTAGAATTTTCTACCACAGTTTTCTTTTCTTAAAGATTCAAGATTGCTTTGGCTCACTTCAGATTTTTAACTGCCAATAAGAAATTACTATCAGCTCAAGGAACAATGCCATCATCTAAACCCTCATTGTGATTTCTAAGACCCTTTGTTCTTGGACAAATATGTTTCTAATCACAAAAGCTCTAATTTCTTCACAAGGTTAGCTTCTACAATAACTGAGACCCAGATATTTTCGTGAACAAAAATAAGCTAAATATGACTTAGGAAAGAAAATATCTATGCTAAACTCAGGGAAACCAACTTTCCAGGTGGCGGGGGAGAGAAATTAATTCTTTTGGAATCAAGATTGCAACTATAGAACCACAGAACCAGATGGAACCTTGGGCTAATGCCTTCATTTTACAGATGAAAATACTATAAAACAGAAACATGAAGACACTTGTCAAAGGGCATAAAGCTAGTTACCAGCAAAGCCAGGATTAGAACTCAGGTCTCCTAGTTCTCAGACCAGTGTTCTTAATGCTAAGCAGGTGAGAATAAAGCTCAGGAGGATGAATATTATTTTAAGCATCAGAAGAGAGGAAAATACATGATGTCAGGTACATTACTGGCGCACAACTTCAGGGGAACTGAAACAAGGGGGTCAGCCTATTACTGTAATCCAGGCGAACACCATTATGAAAGGAAACCTATGAAGTTTATAAAGGTACTAAAAAACAGAAAAGTAGTCTTTATCTTATAAAAAAAAAAGACAACCGGGGATCCCTGGGTGGCGCAGCGGTTTGGCGCCTGCCTTTGGCCCAGGGCGCGATCCTGGAGACCCGGGATCGAATCCCACATCAGGCTCCCGGTGCATAGAGCCTGCTTCTCCCTCTGCCTGTGTCTCTGCCTCTCTCTCTCTCTGTGACTATCAAAAATAAATAAAAAAAATTAAAAAAAAAAAAAAAAAAAAAAGACAACCCACTAGGCAAAGGAAATCTCCCTCCTGGATAAGTTTTCTAAAGCTTTCTGAAATAATGTTTAAAAGAACAAAAAAAAAAAAAAAAAAAAAAAAAAAAAGAACAAACAAAAATAATGAAAAAGAAATGAATAAAATGCCACGAAGTCCCCTAAACTCAAGAAAAATAATTTCAAGACTTTAGATGAAAAATCAGCAAACTGGAACAGGCATATGAATAACTCAGACCCAAATAATTCCCTATGCCCGAAATGAAAACCAAGTTAAAAATATTACAGTAAAATTTCCCTAAGGACATAGGAAAGAGACACCAAAAGCAATCACCTTATTTCCCCTGGGACTGCCAGAGGTAGAATGTGAGCCTGTACAGCAAATTAGGTAGAAATTAGGCTTTTGGTTCATAGATTTCTGAACTTGAATGCTGTGGAGTCAAAATAAGGGGGGAAAAAACCCAAAACATTATCACTAATGCTTATGAAATTATGAAGGGGATGACAGAGAAGAAAAACACAAAAAAACTTTATATTATATACCGAGTCCTACTTAAAATAATAAAAAACTTGTGCATGAATATAAAATATTAAAGATAAGGTATTGTAAAAAATCTTATTTCCAAATTGTCAATGCAAAAGTTGCTTCCATTTTAGGTTAAATAACAATTCAGTTACCCCCAACTAAAATAACATCTCTGACTTTGAAGTCTCATAAATGTGAACTAGGCAAAAACATTATAACCTCTGTACTATATGCCACAGCCTTCAATCTGGATAGTCTTTAAACTTGATATCATGAATTAAGAGTTTAAGTAGAATTCCTTGTGGAAACATTGTATTATGAAACCAACATCTGATTTTTTTGACTGAAATACTTAAAAGTCTTTTTTTTTCCCCAGCATTCCCATTACAAAGAGAGCAAAATATGCCAGCATATCTCATGATAACACAGGGCTCACACATTCCAAATGGTATTTATCATCTTAAGACTCCAATCAAAGATTTAACTCTCTGATGCAAATCAATCCTCTACAGTTTCTGAAATTATGACAGTATTTAATAAATTAAATGATTTCAAAAACTGTTTTGATTATGTTTCAAAGAATCACACATTTGTCTACCTACTAAGTTGGAATGAAAAGAAATATTATGGAAAGACTGTTCTTGATCTTTAATAGTCCATGCTGGCTAGTTTCATTTTTGTGAACAATGATATATTTTCTAAATCCATACATTTAAGGTCCAAGTATAAGAGTTGGATTTTCCTCATTATATAAAAATAAATGATTTACTCTTTTGAGGGTGAGAACATTGACTATTTGTATGTAGGGATAGATGTTGGAGGTAAACAGCCATACCTCAAAACTAAAAAGTAAAAATTCCAAGATTGAGTTTTTCAAAAGACTTGAAAGACTGTATTTTAAAACAGTTACCCTAAAAGTTTGAACAATTTTTTCAGTTTTTTAAAATGGTGGCCTTAAATTAAAAAATTAAAACTAAGTAACACCACTATGTCTGTCATCACATTAGAAAACTGCACCATGTAAAATCTGTGGCAAATGAAAAATTTTTCAACCAGAGTTAGTTTTAATAGTCATCTATGGTACTCTCAAGGAACACATTTCGAACATCCAGAATGGACGCTAATTCCAGAATGTGCTTCTGGAGATGAGGGTTCTCCACTGTTTCATCCCTTGGCAGTTGTGGGTATGATTCTGGATAATTTCGTGTTTCCTGGTAGGTAAAGAAGAGAAAAAGTCAAGTTTTGTAGTTTAATGAAAGAGATTATATAAAACATTAATAATACTACTGTTAGCATTAATAGTATTAGGAATAACTTAATACGTAATTCTCTGAATATTAGTATGATTGTTAATAGTAGTGTACTTGTTGAACATAGGAGATTGCTAACATCTGACTGCTCTAACCTTAAAAAATTAGTCTCATAAGGTTCACCCTAATATATTCATTCAGTGAGTTATTTCACAAGTATTTATTGGGTCCTATTATTTCTGAGTACTCTGCTATATTCTAAAGATCATATAACTCCTATTTATTATGGGAAAAGTCCTAGCATAGATAGGATTTCAACAAGTACTTACTAAATGAATGAATAAATAGATGTTGCAGCAGAAATTAAAATGAGAGGAAAGACATGAGAAGCACTGAAAAAGTCAAATTAATGAGCCTTGGCAATTAATTATAGGACAGGGAGGTTTCAAAGATGACAAAGATAATATTTTAGGAACAGATAACATAAGAGAAGAGAGAAGAGCTGGGAGCCATTCAAGAGAAGTAAGAGAAAATTATTTGGAGAAAGTATAAAGCTTCAAGTTTTAGGTATATTTTATTGAAGAAATAGGGTAAACAAATAGAACTGCCCCTCAATAGGAATTTGAAAATTCAGGTCTGTATCTCAGAAGACAAGTTTGAGCAGTATATGTAAAGATGGATATAATCTGCATGGTGATAAATATTAAAATCATGAAAATGGTAAGTTTTCTAAGAATAATAGCAAACAGAGTGAAAAAAAATAATCTTTAAAAAGGGAGAAGAAATATCAGGAAAAAAAACAAAAGGAATAATACAAAAGGGAAAATCACCTGTAATTATATAGATGCCAAAGAAAGAGACAATTTCAAAAATCAAGTATTCTCACTTGGAAATTCTTCTTTACTTGGTAATTTCTTTCCTTTTTTAACAAGATTTTATTGGGGGGGGGTGGAACAAGGAGGGGGAACGGCAGAAGGAGAGGGAGAAACAGGCTCCCCACTGAGCAGGGAGCCCAAAGTGGAGCTCAATCCCAGGACCCTAGGATCACGAGCTGAGCTGAAGGCAGTTGCTTAACCAACTGAGCCACCCAGGTGCCCCCTGATAATTTCTATAGACTATATTTTTATCACTCATTTAAAATTTCCTGGAGAAATAAGTTATAACTCTTCTATGCGTCTCACATGATAGTTCATATATTCAAATATCACTTCTAACTTCCTTTAGCCTGTAGGTGCTACTCATTACAATTATAAAGACCAAATTTTTGTTTTGTCACACTAAATACGATGAGGAGAGACAAAAAAGAACTGTTCAATACCCCTGAAAAAAGAAAAAAAACCCAAAATCAAGTTACTGGGGGACTATTTGGAGGTCAACAATTCTCTCAGCTCACACAGAGCTAAGACATGTCTGAGCTCTGACCAAACACTTCCTAGAGTGGAGAATACCCATCTTTTGAAACAGGGGACATGAAAGAGACCCCAGAAAAATTATGCCTTTTAGTATTGGGCCAAAATAAACCTACATCTGTATGCTAACACTACTCTACAGCTACCCTTGAAAAGCTTAAAAACAAGCCATAAGAAGGTCAAAGGTATTTGCAAGTTGATTTAACTCCTGCTACAATAAAGTCTAATATTCTTTAAAGAAAGACAACAAAGTCCAGAATTCAACATCATAAAATTCACGATGCACATATTCTAAGAGAAAATTAATAGACATACAAAAAAAATTAGGAATACAAGAGCCCTAATCAGTAGGAAAAATCATAAAAACAAACTTATAAATGATAGAGAATATAGTATTAGCAGACAAGGATTTTAGCTCTTACACATACATTCAAGAGCAGAAAGGAAACCATAATGAGGAGGGAAATGGAAAATATTAAAAGAACCAAAAAGAATTTCTAGAGATGAGAATATAATTCCTTTTTTTTAAAATTTATTCTTTTATTTATTTATGATAGTCACAGAGAGAGAGAGAGAGAGAGAGAGAGAGAGAGAGAGAGAGGCGCAGAGACATAGGCAAAGGGAGAAGCAGGCTCCATGCACCGGGAGCCCGATGTGGGATTCGATCCCGGGTCTCCAGGATCGCACCCTGGGCCAAAGGCAGGTGCCAAACCGCTGCACCACCCAGGGATCCCAAGAATATAATTCCTGAAATGAAAAACTGACTGGATAGGATTAACAGCATATTAGACACTGTGCAAGAAACGTCAGTGAACTTGAAGACATAGCAATAGAAACCAAAACAGAAAGAAAGAAAAAGACTTTAGAAAAATGAACAGAACATGAAGCGATGTGCAGGTTAACAACAGACTGTCTAGGGATCCCTGGGTGGCTCAGCGGTTTGGCGCCTGCCTTTGGCCCAGGGCGTGATCCTGGAGACCCAGGATCAAGTCCCCACATCGGGCTCCCTGCAGAGGCCTGCTTCTCCCTCTGACTGTGTCTCTGCCTCTCTCTGTGTGTCTCTCATGAATGGATGAATAAAATCTTAAAAAAAAAAAAAGACTGTCTAATATGCATGGAACTATGTTCCAGAGAGAATGAAGGAAGAAAAATACTTGAACAAAAATGGCCAAAAGTATTCCAAAATATTCCAAAATTATTCTATAGATCCAGGATGATCAATGAACCCCAATTAAGAAGAGAAAGAAAGAAAGAAAGAAAGAAAGAAAGAAAGAAAGAAAGAAAGAAAGAAAACCTTATTAATGTATATCATAATCAAATTATAGGAAATAATATGAAGAGAAAAATCTTAAAAATACCCAGAGAAAAATGAAAAGACACACTACACATTGCAATAAGTGATAGAATAAGGATTCTGAAAATCGGTAAAGATTAAAAGCCATGATCAACAACATTATAAACCAAGGTGATCTAACAGACATTTATAGAACTCTTCATCTGATGGTATGATAGTAGCAGCATATATGTCTAAAACAAGTGTCCATGGAACATTTATCATGATAGACAACATGTCTCAATAACTTAAAAGGACTCAAGCCATACAAGGTATATTATCAGACCACAAAGGAATTAACTTAGAAACCAGTAAGATAAAGATAACTCAAATGTTTATTATTATTTTAAAAAATATTTATTATATGAGAGGAGTGAGGAGCATTTGGAGAGAGAGAAGAGAATTTTAAGCAGACTCTGAGATGAACACAGAGCCCAATGGGTGGCTCGATCTCACAACCCTGAGATTATGTCCTGAGCCAAAAATCAAGAGTTGGACACTCAACAGGCTGAACCTCCCACGTGCCCCAATAACTCAAATATATATATATATATATTTTAAAATGACTTTATTTATTTATTCATGAGAGACACACAGAGAGAGAAAGAGAGAGAGAGAGAGAGAGAGAGAGAGAGAGAGAGAGACAGGCAGAGGGAGAAGCAGGCTCCACGCAGGCAGCCTGATGCAGGACCCGATCCCGGGTCTCCAGGACCACGCCCTGGGCTGAAGGCAGACGCTCAATCACTGAGCCACCCGGGCTGACCTAACTCAAATATTTAGATACAAAAGAACATATTCCTAAATAAACTATGATTCAAAAAAAAAAATCAGAATGAAATAAAGACTGTTTCAGAGAAATAAATAATGAAAGAATTAAGCACCACCAGATTTGCATTATAAGAAATGATAAAGGAAATTCTATTCTATAGAAGAAAAATTAAAGCAGACGGAAAATTAAATACAGGAAGAAATAAGGAATCCCAGAAATGGTAAATATATTTGATTTTTTCTCATTTAAAAATATTTTTTAGGGCAGCTGGGTGGCTCAGCGGTTTAACACCGCCTTCAGCCCAGAGCCTGATCCTAGAGACCTGGGATCCAGTCCCACGTCGGGCTCCCTGCATGGAGCCTGCTTTTCTCCTCTGCATGTGTCTGTGCCTCTCTCCCTCTGTATCCCAAATCCTAAAAAAAAAATTTTTTAAGATTTTATTTATTTGAGATAGAGAGCAAGAGAGAGAACACAAGAGGTGGCAGGTGCAGAGGGAGAGGGAGAAGCAGGCTTCCCACTGAGCATGCAACTTGATGTAGGGCTTGATTCCAGGACCCTGAGATCATGACCTGAGTCAAAGGCAGACACTTAACCAAATGAGCCACTCAGGCACCCTATCATTTTTTTTTAAAGATTTTATTTATTTATTCATGAGAGAGAGAGAGAGAGAGAGAGAGAGAGAGAGAGAAAGGGAGAGAGAGAGGGAGAGAGAGGTAGAGACACAGGCAGAGGGAGAAGCAGGCTCCATGCAGGGAGCCTGACGTGGGACTCGATCTCGGGTCTCCAGGATCAGGCCCTGGGCTGAAGGCGGCGCTAAACCGCTGAGCCACCTGGGCTGCCCGGCACCCTATCATTTAAAAAAAAGTTTTTAAAAGATCATTGATTGTTTAATGCTATGTTAACCACAAAGTATCATTTAGTATATACTTATATATAAAAGTCAAATGTACATAGTTGGAAGGGAGAATATGGAAGTATATTGTTAGAAGACAATTATATTAAATGTGAAGTTATATTAAAAAGTAAACACCAGATAGAAGTAAATCAATAGTAGTTTTTTTTTAAGATTTTATTTATTTATTCATGAGAGACAAAGAGAAAGGCAGAGAGACATAGGCAGAGGGAGAAGCAGGCTCCGTGCAAAAGCCTGATGTGGGACTCAATCCCAGGATCCTGGGACCATGCCCTGAGCCAGAGGCAGATGCTCAGCTGCTGAGCCACCCAGGCATCCCAATAGTGTTGTTAAGTAAAATTCGAGGGGAGCCTGGGTGGCTCAGTTGGTTAAGCGTCCGCCTTTGGCTCAGGTCATGTTCCCAGAGTCCTAGGATTGAGCCCTTCATTAGGCTCCCTGCTGGGAGGCGGGAGGGATCTGCTTCTCCTGCCCCTCCCTCTGCTCATGCACATATGTGTTCTCTCTCAAATAAATAAAACCTTAAAAATTTTTTTAATT